AGGAGTTTTACTTTACTTTATTCCGCTATATCTAGATAGGTTAGACTCCTAAATTTAATAAGTACTAGTATATTATTAATTTATAGTCTCTTACTATCGGCCTTTTTTCTATATTATTTATCGAGTTTAGTTACCTTAATTCGCTTATAGATATAGTAGTTAAAGAGTATATATAGTTATTTTCTAGTAGTAGATACTATAGTATATACTTATTAAAGAATTAAAATAGAGAATTAGAGTTCGTATATTAGAGCTCGGCAGCGCTAGCCGAGCTAATAGATAAGCTTAGATAAGCGTAAATTAGACCTTAAAGTATATTAAAGTTTAGTAAAGTTATAAGTTTATTACGACTATCTAATATCTCTACTAACTTAATTACTAATAATAATATTTTCTACTTCTTCTAGCGCCTTAATAATATATAGAAACTATAAGTAAATACTTTCTAAATTACTACTAGGTTTATAGTATATAATATATAGCTAATAGTAATACTATAAGCTCTAATTATTACTAAACTAGCGCTAGTACTACTACTACTACTAGTAATAACTCCTCGAACGCGACGTATTATACTTAAGGTACTATAGTTTTAGAAAGTTTAGAAGCTTAATTTAGTACCTCTAATTAATTAGATTTATTTAAGATAACTACTATCTTAAATAAGCTAGTTTATACTCTTATTATTACTACTAATCTAGTATACTCTATACTTTCTTAAAGGTATATACTACCTCTATCTCTAAATAACTACTTAAACTAGTAATAACGTTATTAAGCTAGTTATTATCTACTACTAGTAAATAGTTATTATCTATTATAATACTATTATTAGCTCTTAATTAATCGATAAAGATACGAGTTATAACCGGAGAGCCCTAATACTATACTATCTTCTCTTCTATATCTAGAGACTCTATAAATAATAGTAAGAATTCTAATAGCTTAGAGACTAAGTCTTATAAATAGAGTACTTACTATATAGTTAGTAATCGAGTTAGAATCGCTTTAGTTTAGTAGCTATATACCTCTACCCTAATATCCTTAGCTATCTCTCCGTTATAAGCCTAGTTTATATATAGATTACTACTAAATTAGACTCTCTAAAAAGTTTATACTATACTAATCTTAGCAAAGGACTATCCTCGGCCGTATTACTAACTAAATTGAATTTGAATTTGAATATTCAAAAAACCGGATTCATATTCAATTCAACTCTGAATTTGAATTGAATTTGAATAATCAATTCAGTATTCAAAATCTATGCCACCGACGCGAGTGCCTGTGGTTTGTGAGACAAGCGACGAAGGCCTGAGGACGTGAGACTATTGACCGCGGGAGTGATGGCGACTAGGATCGATGATGCGCCGACGTCTACAAACTTTCTAGGAGCGCCTCTCCGCGCATCATCCACCTTACCACCGCCCCTCTCCCTCAATGCAAAGTTCCTGGCGCCGCGGGAACTGGATGCTTGCGCAGTGAGGAAGACGCAGACTCATGCTGGTGGCATGCTAGAGCGGGCGACAGCATGCCTCAAAGCCCGAGCAGCACGAGACTCTCTCCAATGTGCCCAGCAGCACGCTCGGCGCGCCAGCAAACGTCTGCTGCACCACACCTTCTGGACGCATGGCGCTGGCGACCTCGATCTTCCGCCCTACATCGCCAGCTCCACACCACCAGCCGGCCTGCCGCTGAGGCACGATGACCCGCCATCTGCGCCCAAGAACTCTCGATCCGCTGCGCCTACGCCCTCCACTACCGATGGCGTATTTCTCGACTTTCTGTACCCGCCGCAAGCATTGGCGTATCTGCATCGAGCCAACAGACAGTCCTTCGAGAGCTGGGAGTATCGCAATGCTAGGCGGTTGCCCGAAGGATTTGTGAGGGCCTCCCGACATTATTCTTCGACAGCACGCTCCAAACGCCGTGATAAAACTACCACCACCGATCCTGAGAAGCGGCCAGAAACATCAGCGCAGCAGGCGACTCCTGATGACGAAGAGGACGAAGTACGCACAAGTGACCCCTTTGCTGAAGCTGCTGGCGAGCAGACCGATAGCGCTCGTATCCCAAGATATCAGGCTGATCAGGCGACCGAGTTGGCCAAGGAGCTGGGCGTGGGCAAGAGGGCAGACACTCGCACGGGCGTACAACAAGCCTTGGAGGGCGCAGTGGAATCCCGCGCAAATGATTTTGCTGATACTGCCGGCGAGCTCGACGACATGCAGTCACGTAACGTCGCTGAACGGTCTCGTGCCAGGGAGAATGCTGTCGTGGTAGGACAGTCCACGCTCGTGGACAGCACGCATGCACCCGATCAACGTCTGCGTCAGCTTCGCTTCATCATGGCAATGAAACGTGAACATGTCACGCAGGTCTTAATTCGTCAGGCGTGGCAACTCTACCTGTCCCTGCATGAAGATGATAAGCGGGATCTTCGACTAAAGGAGAAGCTCCTGGTGTGGCTCAATGAGCGAGAAGATGAGCTTGCCGATGCATATATCACCGCTTTGTTCTGGTCTATCCCCTTGCATTCGCGCACTCTGCCCATATATCAGACTGTGGCGCAGTCGTTTCTGAGAGGCACCAGGGCCAACTCTCTGCTGTCTGTTCTGCACAAGGAGGCTTTGACGAATATTCCTAATGGTCAACAACTGACACTTCAACTGTTCACACACGCGTTGAAGACCGAGAACTTCTACGCATTGCGTCGCGCTGTGAAAGAGCATGATCGCGTTTTCATGTCAGCAGGGCAATCTATGAGCGTCGAGCTATTCTGGGTCAAAGTCGCCGAGATACCAGACCTCATGACCAGCGTATTGCCGCTGGCGAAGCGTTCCGATGGCGCAAACCGATCAGAGATTCGAAACTTGCGCGTCAAATTATCCAAAGAAGCTGTGCAGCAGGCAACAGACGGACTTTTTCACGAGCAGCCATCGATCGTCCGCACGCAGGAGATTTTCGCGCTTCTCAATGTCATCAACAAATACGACTCGCACGCCCGGCGTTTCTTCCACACGCTGCTTGTGCGCCTGCTTCCTGCTTTAGGACAACAGCGCGTAGAGAAACATGGCGATGGCAGCTCCATTTCCGTGAGAGAGAATGCGCATCAGATCATCTCCTATCTATATTGGCACAGTCGGCAGGGCGAAGATACAAAAGTCCACCCCGATCTGATGTTGATCTGGTTGAAACATTTGACCAGTCGAATGGACACAACGAACAAAGAGTATCGCTCGGAGCGCAATGCCACGGCTAGCATGGTCATCGAGGATTGGCAGGCATGGTACGAGCAATTGAGTGCTGATGCTGTTCACAACCTTATATCGTACAGCGCACGCGCTGGTGCTGTTGATGCCTTGAGCCAGTGGACCGCTTACCTTAACCGCCGATACCCAAGTTATCAAGAGCAGCAGAAAGCCTTTTGGGCTCAAATCTATGTACACGCCCAATTGTCTGATCTAGCTGCGGCGAAACAGGCATTCAAAGATGTGAGTCGTTCTGCTCGAGCACACGGCGCTAGGGTTGATTTGAAATGCTGGAATGTGCTATTGTACGCGCACCAACAAGCAGACGACCTCGAAGGGGCCATGGAGACATTCAAGGAAATGCTGCAAAGAACCAAGTTTGTGCCTGACGCGGCCTCTTTTGCGCCACTCGTGAACATGCTGGCGAGGCGAGGCGACGTTGATGCGGTCGAGGATATCTTGCAACAGTACGACCTCCTCACGCAGGAGAAGCGGCCGACGAAGTTCGTGCGCGCCCATATTATGGCATTGAACCTGATCGACGATCCATCTCAAGCGGAGCTGTTGCTGCAGGAGTCTTTGGTAAAGGTCCGCCAGGGTCAAATCATCGGATCTATGACGGATTGCGTCAACCTCATGCTGGCGAAATATGCCTCTATGCGCGACATAGATGCTACGATGCATATATATCGCGTCATGAAGCAACGAAACATCTTTCGAAATGCCACAACATACCGACATCTGATGCAATCCCTGGCCAATTTTCGTCAGACGAATGCGGCATGGGCTATTTTGACGAAAGGTATGAGAAGAGACGGCTTTGTGCCGACCGCTGCACATTACACTGTGGCTATGGCTGGGTTCATCAATGAAGACCAGGCCGACAAGGCCATCATGGCCCATCAACACATGGTGAAGCAAAATATTCGAGAAAGCTTGTCTACGAAGCAGAATTTGATCAAAGCGAAGGCGCTCATAGAGAAGAAAGTCCACAACCGTGCTCGAAATTCCGGACAAGAGATCTCGCCACCGCTAGCAAATGCATTGGCTGATTTGCAGGCGATGGTGGAAGATCTCAATCCGCGAGATATCACAGCACGAGACCGCTCAGGTGCTCACTCTCATACCGCTCAGGATATGTTTTCCCCAGTCATGTGGGCTTTAGGTGGCGAGCAGCAAGTGGAAGTCGTGCAGCAGTTGTTCCAAGACTCGCAAGCTACTGCGAACAAGTACGGCCACTCGCCTTGGCCAACAATACGCCTTTCAGCTGGCTTGATGAACGCATTCTACCATGCCAAGGAATTTGCCCAAGTGGAAGCATATTGGAAAGTTGTCAAGGAGCAAGTCGACGGCATCGCAGCTCGTTCACCAGTGCCCGACTTCGTGGCTCTTCGACAGATTGCACGAGAGAAGCCAACTTCCAACGGCGTTGGGATGACAGCTTCGGACGGAGCTGAGATGGACGATCGAGCAGAGTTGGGTTTCACGACTGATCAGAAGTCCGAGGCCGAGGCTTCGCGAGCTCCCATGCAATCAGTCCAAATGTCAAACCTTGGGCCACGACCAGCGCCGGCTCGACGAGGAGTGCTGACTCGGCCTTTCAGGATTTACCTGGCTTCCCTTGCCGCACAAAATCGGCTAGAGGAAGGTATAAGAGAAGCGACTCGCCTGTTAAGCCAAGGGTATACCTTCGACAACATCACATGGAATCGCTTCATCGAGTATATTGCTGGATCAGAACCACCTCTGGCGTTACTTGCATTTACACTTGTCGAGCGTTATCTCATCAGGAAATTTCCAGGATGGATTGGCAACGCCAATCGCAGATATCCCCTTCGCAAGTCTGCCCGCGCGCTTGGCATGCAGTATATCCGAGCGCGATATCTAGCGCAGAACGAACTGATGCCTCAGTATCGTACATTCATTTGGCTTGCCAAGGCTTTGCTCGAGGTCAGGCGGCGCGAAGCTGGTGGTTGGCAAGGTAAGGATGGAGAGCAAGGCATCAATGCAACTACCAAACGATTGATCGGGACCACTGCGCAAATTCGTGAGAAGGCACCCAGGACACTGAGGGCTGTACAAATGATGCCCAGGATTGAAGACAAATGGCAGAACAGGTTGCTGAGGGGCATTGGATGGAAGTTCCCGCCTGGAGCTGATCGAAAGCCGACTATTGGTGATGCTCAACTCGTGCATGCCCTGGACGACTCTGAACCATTGACTGACGATGATCTTGCCTTTCTGGCAGATGCTGGTCTTGATACAAAAAGCTCGACGAACGAGAATGCCTCGCAGCAGGATTCGAGTATGGGGAAGCCTGACGATGGGACTGCAGACGCAGAGAGCACAACGCCTGAAACTGCATCCACTACGAGTGCTGTTGACGAGATGCCTCAAGTTGAGAGCAAGACATAAGAGTGCGCATCGACGCGTTGTAGATGTCTGTATATATGTATCAGAAGCTTGTACAATAAGCATCACTGCTGTTGACTGCGTCGTCTGGGCCATTGTTGCATGACACGCGAACGAGGGTGTTACTGTATGTGATCGCACAGTAGTCTGGCCGAATCTAGGTGCAGAGGATTACCACAACTCAGGAGCAACGTCGGCCAACATGTCACACCACATTCCGGCTTTGTGTTCGGCATAAGCAGCTTCGGACACCGCCGACCACAACGCATCATGGCTCTCTCCACAAATGACGACTTGCCGGAACGCATGGGCAATCACGCCACTCCATCTGCTGACACGGCTGGCTGGAGTGACCTCGCGCAACAAAGGTGCGACATGTTGCGTGCTCTCGCGGCAATGAGCCGGCATGCTGATGCAGTTCATATACAGCGTGCAAAGAATGTGGGTATCTGGTCTTCCGATTGCACGACCGCAGACCTCTCTCTATATATTCACGATCTTGCAACAATATAACAATCCCTCACCATGATTCCAACAAGAAAGCCATCGATTGAATCAGTCACGATCAAAAAATCGCCTCCAAAGCAACACTACGAATCACAAGTCGATTATTACTTCGGTATCGTCGAGAGAGCATTGCAAACAAGTCGTCCAAGCGTGCACCTCTACTTCTTGCACAACAACAAGCACAACACCACACAAGCAGACGATCAAACCAAAAGCCGACGCTCTCCAAGTCTATCAGAATAAACCCAGAATGTCAGCAATTCGCGGCTTCGTCGTCCTCGGAGGGATCGCAGCAGTGCCTCTTAGTCTAGTCTATGGTCAAGCTGCGTACGTCGTCTTCTCCAGTTTCTCATCGTACGTGCCAAAAGCTGACTCCACGCAGACGTCAGCTCAGCACACGAGCATCCAATGCATACACGAGAAGGACGGGTGTCTTCGCCTCCCTGCCGGCCAATACACCCGTGGACCCTGAGCAAGCTGAGAAGGACAGATTGAGAGCTGCGCGAAGGGCTGAGATCCAGGAAGGCATTCGCTCGGAACTTGAGTGGCTTCATCAGAATGATTTGACGTGCACTTTATGACTCCGGGATGCTTGTGGCGGTAATTGAAGGCTTCGAGAGAAAAGAGAGCAGGCGTAAGTGGTCTGTGGAGTTTGGGTTCGGTGCACAGAACAAGCATGGAGTCTCGGACTGGTTCATCCTGGGTATCTTATGGCCCAGAATCTTGTTATGTCTGTTCAATTGTTTAGACGAAATAATGAATTAACGACTTACTTCAAATGTTCTACTCTCAACCTTCCATTCCTCGTTGTGATTTCGTCATGCAAGCCTATGTTCTGTGGTGTTGCGGCGTACATATCGCTCACGTTTCATACTCCACTGCAAGCTCTGGATACGCTAAGTGCTGAGCGGCGATGAATGGAGGCTGATGCCGGAAAACATGTCGTTGGCGTGGAGGAGAAAACGAAGGCAGGGCTCACTGCCATGTGAAAGACGCCAAGATTTCGCCGGTGGTAAGTTACTCCGAGCCCCGATAGTGGGATGACTCCGTTTTGAAGAAGGGCCATAGTCCTTAACTTAGAGGGACAATCTGAAGCACACGACACGACACTTCATTCAACTCACCACCTACGCAAGAACGACCCTTCATCTCACGCCGAGGAAGATTGACTGCCGACAACACCGCAATCATGTCGCTCACCAATTGCCGCTTCTACGAGGAGAAATATCCCGAAATCGACTCGTTCGTCATGGTCAACGTCAAGCAAATCGCAGAAATGGGCGCCTACGTCAAGCTACTCGAATACGACAACATCGACGGCATGATTCTGCTCTCCGAACTCTCGCGAAGACGTATTCGATCTATCCAGAAGCTTATCCGAGTCGGGCGCAACGAAGTTGTGGTGGTGCTGCGTGTCGACAAGGAAAAGGGCTACATCGATTTGTCCAAGCGACGAGTTTCGCCCGAGGATATTGTCAAGTGTGAGGAACGGTACAACAAGAGCAAGATGGTGCACTCTATCATGCGACATGTGGCAGAGAAGACCAACACACCCATCGAGGAGCTGTACCAGGATATTGGGTGGCCGCTGAACAAGAAGTACGGACATGCTGTGGACGCCTTCAAACTGAGCATCACGAACCCCGACGTGTGGAACGAAGTTACATTCAAGAGCGACGTGATCAAGGATGAATTGGTCAGCTATATCGGCAAGCGTTTGACTCCACAACCTACGAAGGTTCGCGCCGATATCGAGGTGAGTGACATATTGGTATGCCGGTACACTCGCCGCTTTTCACTGACTCTTTTATCAGGTCACTTGCTTCGGATACGAAGGCATCGACGCTGTCAAGGCGGCCCTCCGCGTCGCAGAAGCCAAGAACACCGCCGAGACACAGGTCAAGGTCCGCCTGGTGTCGCCACCCCTCTACGTCCTGACATCGCAAACGATCGACAAGAACAACGGTATCGAAGTGCTCAACGAGGCGATCAAGGACATCACAGCAAATATTACCGCCGCAGGAGGAAGTTGCAGCGTGAAGATGGCGCCCAAGGCTGTTACAGAGAACGATGACGCAGAACTGCAAGCGCTCATGGACAAGAGGGAGCGCGAGAACCAGCAAGTGTCTGGTGACGAGGATTCCTCGGAGAGTGACGAGGGCGTCGTGGCTGCTGCTGATTAGATGGGAACAAGCGAGGCGTCTGGCGTTGTTGCATTCTCACGAAGACGGCGGAAAAAGTGCGGCTATAGATTTGACGCAAGAGCGCGTGGAAAGTTCGCGTGGAAAGTTACGACAGGCTGTAGAAAACAGCTGCTTGAGAATCAAAACTGCACATGAAGGCATTATTTGTGCAGTATTTCCTGCAACATGTTTGTGTATCACTGATCATGCAGGTCTTGCATCTGGCGCGAACCGCCCCTTCTCGCTTTCTTCTTCGACTGGCACCTCGCATTCGCCCTGTTCATTCTCCAGCTCCACCTCTTCGCCGCTCGCCCGCTGCTTCTTCGCCTGACGCCTCAGTTTTCGAGCGATCCGATCACACGCGAACGAATGTCCGTACACCTCATCGTCGTCCGAATCGTCGAATACGCTTAACCCCTGCATCGCCCACTCGCCCTCTTCGATCTCTTCCTCCTCTTCACGCGATACCTCCTCGCTCTGCGATTCCGATCCTTCGACCACTGCGCCCAGCCAGTTCTGTACGTTCCGCTGCTGTTTCTTCGCAGGCAACGCTCCGCACCTTCGGCCAAATTTCTTCAACGTCGCTCTCGACTCATCATCGTCCTCGATCTCCGCCTCCCGTCGCTGTGCTCTGGGTCTTCGCGCTGCGCTGTCCAGAGACTTGTTTCGTCGTATCGAGGAGTAAATGTCTCTCACATCCGCTTTGCTCTTCCTGTCATCTCGATAACTCGTTGTACGGTATGCGCTCCCTGCGATGGGCCGCGGTGGGACTCCCGGGAGTGTAGGCAGATCCACATGGACATAGCTGTCTGCTATTGATTCTGGCCTTCCTCGTTGTTGCTGTGCATCCTCGAGAGGGTGATTGGGTATCTCGCCTTGAAGATTGGACACGATCCGGCCAATCTTGTTGACCGCGCCAGTTAACTGGTTCTTGACTCCTTGAAAAGCTGTACCGAGTGACTCTCGCAAGATTTTTTTCTCCTGTTCCCATTCGAGTTGAAGAGATGGATCGATGTGGGATTCTGAGTTCCGTGCTTGCCGCCGATGTGCTCGTCGTTGTCGGCATTGTGATGACGGTGGATATGATGATGAAGACATTGGTGCACGGGTGCTGTGGTGCAGAGAAGCACTGACAACGGGCTGTAAAATTTGTGAGCGAGACTGGGTGCGCAGGTGCGATCTAGAATGGTGCGAGTAGCGAGATCCAGTGATCTTGCTTCACGATCGTAACGGCAAAGAAAAAGTGAAGTTACCTGTATTACAGAAATGTTCGCCTTCGCTTCACTTGACCTGCGACTTCCTAATCTGGTGGTTGTAGCGCTTGGCGATGTTGCTACGGAGGATCTAGCTTAAGGTGCTGCCTTGCAGCGAACAATTTTGACGGTTTAAGTTGCGACGTGGTTGTGCCTAGTCGAGAGCCATGGTACCTCGTAAAATTTTCACGCATGAATGTGGCTTCGTCGCGCCCCCCCCACTCCGAATCGTCCCCAACCCATTACATTTGATAAAGAGGAACCCTGGAATCACTCACACGCGCCGTCACCACTCTCATCTGCGAACGAGCGCCACAGCCTCCCAAGCCACTCCGCAGTCTCCAGGGCCTCAGGCGGCAAGTCCAACCACTGGGTAGGTTCTGGGTCAGGACCAAAGCCTGAGAGAAATCCCGGAGAAGAAGTGCCGATCGTCTGCCAGCTGGCTTCCAAGTTACTTTCCTGCTGCTTCTTTTCGTTCCAGATAACTCCAGGGACAGGGCTGCTGTTCTTCAGTAGATCCTGCGGCCATGCACCACTGAATCCGCGAAATGCTTCAGCGTGCAGCTCCGGGCTCTCCGGCTCGATGACCTCGTAGGCGTCTTCCTGCTGCCACTCGTCGCTCTTGTGTACAGAAGACTCCAGATCGTAATCAATCGAGCTGTGATCGTCTTCGATTCCGTGACCGACAGAACGACCATAGTCTTTTGGTATGGCAGGGAGACAGAACATGTGATCGCAATCCGAGACGGAGCAAAGATGGAGTTCCACTTCAGGGGCATGGTGCTGTACTGGAGTGATATCTTCTTCGCCGAGCAGCTGCTCTTCGCACGTCTTCTGCTGTGGATGTAGCGACTTGCAGAATTCGGCCGAGACTCTGCGCGCTTTGCACTTGAGTCTTTCGAGTCCGCCAGATAGACGCTTGCGAGTAGAAGGTTTGTGTTCTTGTGCGAGTCTGAGTTGCTGAGATGTCGTCAGTGTGGTTGAGTATCGGTTGCTGTATCTATTGGTGGAGGGCTCAGTGCCATGGAGGGCGGCCATGACGGGCTCGCCTCCAGTGCAGTGTTGGCGATGAGTTACTGTATTGTCTTTGGAATCTGCAATCAAGTCGGTTCTGGGGTTTTGCGCTCTTCACTCGCTCTTGATCTACGCGAGACACTATGGCACGTGAGGAAGTGAACGATTCACCATGCCCGTTCCAAATCTGATCACATTCGTGATCGGAGTATTAGGAGGCTGGAGAGGGTATGTTGGGATTTGCAAGTCTCTGCAGAGGGGTCGCACAATGGCATTGCCCAGGGCAACGCGCCAGCAACGATCTAGAAATCGCACCGGGGTATCTAACGCTACTCGTAAGCAAAACTCATACATGAAAATGTTCAATTCAAGCTCGAGACTCAAGCCAAGCCTTCCAGTCTGTCGTACGCCCCGGCTGTGCATTTTCTGCGGCATCAAGTTGATCAGCGTCGATCAAATCACCTTCCTGCCAGCCGGACCAGGCATTCAATCCTGCCAGGTGTCTCATAGTCGGTCTGCCATGGGGGCAATTCCAGGGCTTCTCCATTTCTCCCATGTGTTTCACGACCTTCTTCATTTGGGCATGAGTGAGCGTCCTTCCGACCATAATGGAGCTTCGACATGCCCTCATGGCCAGCATCCGCTGAACCTTTCTCGGACGCGGGATCTCAGAGCTTCCGGGTGGGTGCTCTGACAGCAGGTGCAGCAGCTCTTCCAGATCTGAGAGATCGAACGTCTTCTCTTTCGACATGGGCAATGTCAGTAGACGACAACGCTGGCCGGTGGGCACGGGCTCGTCTGAGTCAGTACCGTTAGACGTGATCTCAACCTCGAAACCATTCAATTTCAGAGCGTCACTATGATTGAGTATGATCTCTTCTTCAATAGCGCTGAGCTCCAAAGTCTTGGGAAGCACCAGACGTTGCGATTGCAATGTGACAGTGCGTTGAAAACGCTCGTAGTTGTACTTCTCGTCAGCGGCGTGCTGATCGATGATGAACATGTCGTCCTCGTCTCCAGGCTTTTCTCCAGGGCGTACAGCGAGGATGAAGCCCATGTTGAATTGACCAATGATTCGCATACGAGCAAAGTCCGACTTGGTCACGGTCAATGACAGCCGCGACTCTGCATCTTCCGAGTCAAGCTGATCCTTGACGATGGCGCTATCGCCTTCTCCAGTGTGACCGGTGCGGTCGTAGCAAGGTTGCTGAGCTGAAGCGATCTTCCCAAGCTGGGCTCTGATCGATTCCGAAGTCGTTTGCACGAACCTGGCGAGCTGCAAAGTGGAGCCTTTTCGATTACCGCTGTTCTTAAGCACTTGCGCTGCTCGTTTAAGGTTCACCTCAGTCGGCCTGGCAGCCACTTCTTCTGCTTCCTGTATTAATCGGGCTACACGTTCATCTTCTCGAAGCTTCCTTTCGTCTTCATCGATGTACTCTTCATCCCATTCGTCTTGGTCTGCCGGAGCTGGCACCAGATCTTCTAGCAAGTCGGAGGTAGGCAGGTGCGATGGAGCAGAAGTGCGGCTCAAAGCAGTTGTGACTGTACGATGAACGGCCGTATCGGGTTCGATCTCATCCTCGCTTTCACTTGCCTCCACTGGCACCTGATGAACAGGGTATGCACTGCTTTCTAGTTCCAATTGTGAACCAGGGGCTGCAAAGCTCTTACGCAGACCGCCGGCGAGGGAAGGACTGGCGCCGTAGTCAGCCACTCGCTGGGAGTCATCGGGCTTACATATGCGGCGCTTCTTGTATGGCGGGCTGCTGCCTATAGTGGCCGTCATAGTAACATCGCCAACTGTGATTTCTGCGGTCTGGAGAGGCGTCCGCTTCGGGCGCATTCGATCGAACGCGTTGGGTACCGGACCAGGGGCTAGCTTCTGCGAGCTTGTCGAGATGGCAGGAATCGGGGTCTCTGTAGCTCCTGTATCGTTCTCGATGGCCAGAGCTGGATGCTCCTTGTCTGAAATTGGCGTTTGCAGGCTCTTCTCGGATGACGCTACCTGCGTCGGTGGACGTTGCGAGAAAAGGTCGTTATACGGGGTTCCTAGTGGGTCTGGATTGTGCACAGCATCAGTTTTCGGTCGCGACTGCGCAACAGCAGGCCTCTCCTCTGGTTCAGGCGATGTGCTCTCTTCCCTTTGCTGGCCCGTAGTTTCTGCCCGATCCGCGTTCTCACATGAAGCAACCATTGGTGCAGCTGGAGCCACTTCTTGATATGCTTGTGCAACGACCGTTATAGCCTCTTTCGCGGGAGCTGCAGGCTTCTGTCTGGGCTCCTTCCTAAGCTCAGTGTCCCGGCCGAGCCAATTGTGTATCAAGTTGGGTGGCGAGCCAGCAGGCGCTCTTTGCTGACGAGGCTCTGTGTCGATGACATCTTCTTGCTCCTCCTCGCCGTCTTCTGCTCCACTATGATCTGCACTGGACAGAACGTCGTCCAGCTTGGGTCGAGCAATTGTCAAGGGTTGATAGGCTGGCAATTTGCGGTTCGGCAGTTGAGACTGTGGTACAGTATGATCCGTCTGCTCGAACATCTCTGTCAATGTAGATCTTAGAGTCTCGAGCAGCGCAGCCTGGTCATGAAGCATGATACTACGCTTGTCCGGTGAGACATTTACGTCGTAGGAGTTCGTGTCCATGATCAGGTTGGCAAATACAAAGGGCGATTGCGATAGATTGAAGCCTTTGTAGACTTCGTTGAAGACCTTGGAAATCTGGGGAAGTAAGCATGGCCGACCATTCACAAAGTACATCTGTCGATCTGGAGCCTGACGACCCTCGCCAAAGATAGGCTTCGAGACGTGCCCTTCGACACGCACGGTCATAGAGCGATCGGAACGCTGCGTGGACCAAGTCTTCGCGCTCTGTGTGCTCGGACCTGCACTGGGGGTCATTTCCAGGGTCAAGTCAAGCTTAGCCAGTGCCATCATCGTCTTCGCGCCGAAGACATTGGCGATGTTCTCTCTGGTAGTCGTGTTCGACTTTGTCGAGAATACCGACATCTTCTTGCCTTTGGGCATCGTGTTGCTGAAAGAGAAGCGTACTCCTGTGCTGATACAGGCATAAGAGTGCATGAGTCCGAGCACCTTGTTGTACTCGCGCTTGATGTTCTTCTCTAGCTCACGACGCCGGACGGGTAGGTTGTGAAAGAGGTCCTCGACGTAGACGGTCGTGCCTTTCTGAGCCGCCGCCACAGCGGTACTCTTGAGCTTACCTGAGACTTCGAAGTCAAGCCTCTGACCAAGAGGACCATCCTCAGCTCGGGCTGTCAATATATGAAATTTTGACAATGCACATAGTGATGACAGAGCTTCGCCACGGAAGCCGAAGGTGTCCAGGGAGTCCAGGTCCTCGTAGGTGGATAACTTGGACGTGTAGTGCTTCAAGGCGATACTGTCAAAGTCCTCAGGGCTGATGCCTTTGCCATTGTCTTGCACTTCAATCGAGTCGAGACCCTGGTTCTTGAAGCGTATATCGATGGAGGTGGCGCCCGCGTCGAGGCTGTTCTCGACCAATTCTTTGCACACGGAATTGAGGTCAACGATGACCTGACCAGACTGGATCTGGTGCACGGAGCGGCCTTCGATGGCCTTGATGGTGGCCATGGCCAGGCGGGAATCAGCCCATGTCGGAGCGTTGGAAGGGGAGAAACAAGGAGCAGCGTGGAAGAGGCGACGCGCCAGTTTCGCGACGGGCGCCAAGAATAGCGGAAGCGGGCGATGATGCCATTGCAATCGACCTTCCACCTTCACTGCTACTGCACACACCATGGCATTCGCGAGGACTGCAGCTACGGCTGCTCTACGGAGAACCGTGGGCACAGCATCCAGCAGAAGCGCACGCAGCTTCACGCAGGTGGCCGGCCAGCCGATCCGACGAAAAGCACAACCAGCGTTCGTCGCTGCTGTGAGATGGCACTCTGCTCCCGCAGGCAGCGCGAAGGTGTACGACTTCAGCCATGTCAAGAAGCTGAGCGAGTCGCCTTCGGGGGAGACCATTCTCGTTGGTAGGCAGCGTTTCTCGCCTCGAGATCGATTTAATCTGACCCATCTGCAATAGATGTCCGCGAGCCGTCCGAGTACCAAGCAGGCTACATTCCCGGCGCCATCAACCTGCCCATCAAATCGCAACCCGATGCGCTGTTCCTGCCTGAGGAGGAATTCATAGACAGGTTCGGATTTGACAAGCCGCCAATGGACAAGGAAGTCGTCTTCTACTGCAAAGCAGGCGTGAGGAGCAGCGCCGCAGCACAACTGGCACAGCAGCAGGGCTATCAGAACATTGCCGAATACAGAGGAAGTTGGCTGGATTGGGAGAAAAATGGCGGTCCGACAAGCAAGCCTTAGACTGGCACAGCGGGTCAAGACGATCGAGGCGCATGTACAGCAGATATGCCGTGCCCACAAGACCCATCACCCGAGCAAGATGTTGTAGAATCATTTCAGAGGGCCAGTGTTGAACTGGCGACCTATATTGACAGCGTCAGCCTTCGACCAATCCGCCCAGTACCTCTGACCGGTCCGTCAAGTTTGTGTTGACCACACAGATCTTCGCGGTCAGCCACATCTCTCACCGCGTCGCTCCTTGTCCAACGTGGCATAGACTGCTGCCCCCTTGTGGAGTGAGTCACACGGACTCTCTGGTACCTAGCATTCAGCTGAAGGATTCGATACGTCAGGCCTTGGCGCTGATCTGTTTCTACATGAATGAGCGAAATGCCTCGAGCGATGTACATACACGATATTCGCCATGTCTAAGTCATATACCATCGAAGATGTTCTCGCCACGCCCACTGCGGAGGCGATCGACCCCGAAATCGTCAAAGACATCGTTAATCGGCCTCCATTCGTCCATATCCCTGGGACCTTCAACGCACGAGACGTTGGCGCTAACGAACATGCTGGAGTGCGGTCTGGCTACATTTTCAGATCTGGCACCTTCGAAGACGCAGACGATGCTACATTAGCATCTCTACAGAAGCTGAACATCACGACAATCTACGACCTGCGCACTTTTCGCGAAACTCAAGACCACCCCGATCCGCATTTTAGTGGAGTTCAAATCCAATGGTGTCCAAGCACCGTTGACAATGACTTGGAGAAGAACTTTCAGGCCAAGGTTGCGCAGAAGCTGAATGTGAGATGCTAAATAATAATGAAATAACTTCAGTCCTACGGCTCATAAAGATAGATCCATGAAGAATACGCAAAATTAATGCGTGCACACGCACCCAAATTTGAAGCCGTCTTTCGCCACATCCTCGAGCAGCCCGACAAGCCCTTCCTTTTTCACTGCTTTGCGGGGAAGGATCGCACTGGAATCCTGGCAGCCCTCATCGCTCTCTTGGCTCAAGGAGAAGACCGCGATGAAGCACTTTCGGCAGCTCAACGCGACTATGATCTGACGAGGGTCGGCATCGAGCCCGTACGGGAGCTTTTGCTAGCGAAGATACTCAGCTATGGAAATGTGGATCCGAAGGACGCTGGAGGCTTTGCCGATCTAAGAGCATTCCTTGTCGAATTGTCACGCGAGTACGGTGGCGTACACGCCTATTTGAGCAATCATATTGGGTTCACATTCGAGGAGATTCAGCAGATTCGGCAGAATTTGAGGCCCAGACCATCGAGGCAATAAACGGATGGAGGAAACAGTACGTATTCTGGGATAGGTCTGCACTGTCACCGTGTGTTCACAAGTACATGGGCCTGTAGATTTGCTAATCTCGTGGCTGGACTTTCGCGAAGAGAATTCCTGTGTTGATCAAAATCATGCCCTGCTCGCGCGCAGCGGCCGCATTGCATCAAACCTGGACCAGCGCTTGCAAAAAACGTGTATGTAAGAGCCCCTTTGCTGACTTGCGTACCCGTCCCATGCAGGCTCTTTAGAGGCCAGCAGCATCGTTTGGACGCATCCATCAACGCGTGTGCTCACTCACCTAAACGTCCTGCTGTAACGTGATCTACAAAGTCGCACCTGTGAACAATGCTTTGTTCACTTTTCCTTGCCAGCACAAAGGATCACAGCAGTGAACAGCTGCCACAAAGTTGTTGTACAGTGACTTTCTTCGACGATGAACCGGACGCTCCTCGCAGTTTGCACATAAAAGCTTCTCGGGCTGCTCGAGGAGCACCCCTTTCTTCAGACCTAGCTTCCTACAGATTTCACATACCTTGACTGGATCAAGGACAAATCTGCCAGCAAGTTCTACAAAGCAACACTCCTCTCAGCTCGAATAATCGATCACAACATGTCGGGATACCCTTCCCGTCGCCCCGTCAGCCCGATGGGCGGCTACTACGACGTTCGCGAAGTACGTCCGTCCGGCTACGAGCGCGAGCGAGACGCACAGAACCTGACTCGATACGGTACTCCCAGAAGAGCCGACGACCAGCCATCGAGGTATATCTCGGAGCGTAGACAGCCTGAGAGTCGCACTCGCCGATACGAGGAAGACTACGGTGCGGCTGGCATTGATCTCTCCACCTTTGGCGGTGGACCAGGCTCGTCCTATGGCGGTGGTCTAAGCTCTAGGGCTGGTAATGCTTATCCTTACAGCCCACCTCCTGCATACTCCTCGCTACGCTCTAACGACAGCGTTTACGCGCCGCGCCGTTCGTCTCCTGTGCGCGAAGATCGTTCATCATCACGTCGCACAGCTTACCCTATGGCCGACCTGAGCTCCCTCTCAGGCGAATCTAGGCCATTCGATTCTTTCGCACGACGCCCACCTCCTCGTCCCAGTCCAATGGACGAGCTCGACCTCCTGGATGCTGCGGCTCGTCGCTCCCGTCCCTCTACCCACCACCGCTCTCCACGCCGCTCACCTCTAGGCTCTGATATGCCAACGGCTGAGGAGTTCGCTGCTGTGAACTACGGTCGAGGAAACTACTATCCAACTGGGCCATACGATGGCTCTCGGCAGCCGAGTTCCCGCTCGTACCGTTCTGAGCGTCGTCCACCTTGGTAAGTGCTTTAGAGTCTTGCTCCTACATTCCTACCTTCTCCTCTATGATTTCCATCACGATGTTCGATTCGCTCGGTAAAGGATATTAGATTATTTATCGGAATGTTATCGTACCCTGGCTTGGTAGGAAACTGGCTGTTTGAATACAATACAAATGCTTCACCTAGACTTTTGACTCACAACTCTCGTTACTGCTTCTGAGAAGACGCTGACTCTTCAGATTGTACGTGCCACTGACCGCATTGAAGACAAAGAAGTTCATTGTTGTGAACCTCTCGTGGTCTCATCATTCCATTCTTTGTCTTTGCCACGTGCGACCATGCTGCAGTCGTGAAGCTCGCTTTAAATAGTTCGCTCGCTGCACAAATGGCTCGACATGTCACTTCGTCCGCACGTGCAGCATTAAAACCGAGCATACGACGACAAAATGCCTCGCAGTCTAGCATCGCCCACAGAGGGACATAGCGAAGGTAGAGACTCAGAGGTGGCTCCATCAAATCCTAGCGCCAAGCCTTCTCTAAGACGGCGCTTTCTCGACCGTGTATTGGGGAAGAAGACTCGTCCCAGCGATATCCTTCCGGCATCTGAAGCGACAGGTGCGGCGAACGAGCAAACAAGTAGAACGAACGATAAAGATCTGCGGTTGGAACGATCTCTCAGTTACGAAGATTATTTGATACATACGAGGCCAAGAGACGTGTGGCTACCCTTGGATCCTTCGGTCTCACCCTCTGATCCTGCGTTTAAGGCCGCTGTGAAAGCATCGCAATCATAAGCTTGGATGAAGAACTGTAAGAGGCAGGTAGACAGCGAGCCAGCACTTGTATATGCTCATCTATGATAATATCATGTATCATTTGTCGTCTCACATAAGCCGAATCCATAACCAAATCGAAATTGAACAGAAAATGTTCGACATGTGCCTTTCACCAATCCATCCCACCACCACTTCCCCTCTCCCCACCAGCCAAAATCGCTCTCGCTTTGCCCTCAGCACCAAGTCCATTGACCAAATGGCTTGCTTGTATTCCTTTCCTCCCCTTTTGGATCTTCGCCAACCTCTCATCCAACTTCGCAAACTCCGACTTCGCTTCCGTCTCTTCCTTCTTGACCTTCCACTTCTCCGTACCCAGCACACTGTCAAGCTCTTCCACACTCGGCAACTTCACATACACCATCCCATCATCCCTCGCCTCAACCGGGAACGTCGCAATATTGACCGCCTCATCATTACTACACTTCCCAGCATCCTCGCCTTTCATGCTATAATTCCGCTTATGCAGCGGGCATGAAATCCAAAGCTTATTCGTCTTATAATCCTCTCCAATCAACCCATCGCTCAACACGAAAGCGCGCTTGTGAGGACACATTTGCTGTGTACAGTAGTATTTCCCTTTGACTTTGAAAATAGCCAATTGAGTGTCACCTCGCTTGACTGAAAGACTGGATCCTGTTTCAGTATCGACGAACTGCTCGCATTGTGCCAGAGGTTGCCAGGTGAGTTCGCTTTCCCATTGTTTTCCGCGGAAATCTTCTTTTGCGGATTCTGAAGCCCATTTGGCGGGTCTTGTTTGCTCTCGTTCGGGAACGATGTCTGTGCCGTCGACGTATTCGTCTGTGTTTCCGAATTGTTTGAAGACTGCCATTTTCTTCGGGTCTTTGAGGGTTTCTGTCCATTCGCAGAAGAATGAGCCGACGATCTCTTGCATTTGCTTTTCGAGCTCTGCGCAAATGCCGAGCTTGTCTTGAAGGACTACTTCTTGGAGGTATTTGATGCCGCCGGGGAGGTTCTCGAGCCATCGGGCTGTTCGTTGAAGCTTGTCGCCTGTGCGAATGTAGAACATGAGGTATCGATCCAGTATCGGGACGACGTCGTCAGGCGGAACGTCCTTTGCAAGCAGCTCGCTATGCCGGGGCTTCGCACCTCCGTTGCCTCCAACGAAGATATTGAAGCCCTTCTCTGTTGCGATGAGACCAAAGTCCTTGTTCTGAGCTTCAGCACATTCTCGCACACATCCAGATACACCACCTTTGAACTTGTGTGGGCCACGAATACTCTTGTATCGTTCCTCCAGTCGCACAGCCATGCCAACAGAGTCGCCGACACCGAACCGGCACCATGTTGTACCCACACATGATTTGACTGTTCGCAAACTCTTGGCGTAAGCGTGACCAGACTCCAGGCCTCCATCAATCAACTCCTGCCAGATAAGAGGCAAGTCATTCTTCTTTGCGCCAAACATATCGATACGCTGACCTCCAGTGATCTTGCAATAGAGACCAAACTTCTTCGCCACAGTGCCAATAACGATCAACTTCTCGGCTGTGATCTCACCTCCTGACACTCGAGGCACAACAGAGAATGTGCCATTGCGTTGGATATTCGCCAAGAAGCGATCGTTGGTATCCTGAAGTCCTCTTCGATCCTCATCAAGAAGATGCCTGTTGTACAGCGAAGCTTGGATGGATCCAATAGCTGGTTTGCAGGCTTCGCAACCGGCAGAGTCGGGTTCTCGTCCAGCGTGCTTCATCACATCGGCAAAGGTCTCGAGTTTCTTCACGTATATGATGTTGAAGAGATCTGCGCGTGAGTATTCGAAATGAGGACATAGGTGGTTCTTGACTTCTTGACCCATTGAGGCCATGGTCTTGTTGAAGATTGTCTGCACGAGTGGCATGCACCCACCGCATCCAGTGCCTGCTTTCGTGCCTACATTTGTTGTTAGTCTGGATTGTCGTATTTGCGATTGTGCGCGACTTACATGACTTGACGTCGCCGATAGACTTGCAGGTACCGTCCTTGACGCTTTTCGTCACATCGCCTTTGGTCACGTTATGACAAGAGCAAATTTGTGTGTCGTCGTCCAGATCGTCCCCGTCATCGTCACCAGATTGTGTGCCAACGATGAATGCCGAAGGTGACACTTCCAAAGGCTTCTGATTCTTGACCATAGGGACGAGCTTCACATAATCTTTGGTGTCGCCAATCATCATGCCTCCGAGTAGATACTTGCCATCCATCGTGAAGAGGTACTTCTTGTAGACCTGCTGGAATGGGTCCTTGTAGGTGAGCGCCTTTACGGGAGGCGGCGGAGGCCCATCGGTCAATGCTTTGGCAGAGTCTACTCTGTCTTTGTTATCAAGACCTTCCTTGCGCGCACCACGAGCTTTTGGTAGACTCTTTGGCCCATCGCGATCGGCAAAGAAATCTCCAAAGCTGGCCACCTCGACACCAAGCAGCTTCAGCTTCGTGCTCAAGTCTGGGGTCTTGAACTTCCGAGGGGTATGTGCCTTGGCTTGTGTCAGGTTAAAGGCCAGGATATCTGCCATCTCGACACCCGGTGCAATCAAGCCGAAGGTTTGGTTCTGCCAGCTTGCGCACTCTCCGATAGCGTACACATCTTGTGCCGATGTGGAAAGATCGTCGCCAACAATGATACCAGCTCCTCGGTCGGCACACTTTATACCCGCCCCACGAGCGAGTTCGTCTCTCGCTTTGATGCCGATAGCGAAACATACTGTTGAGCAGTCAATTTGCTCGCCATCTTCGAAGACCACGCCGGTGACGTTGTTCTCCTGGTCTGTTGTGATTTTGCCCACCCTTTTGCTGAGAAGTACGTCAAGACCAAGCTGGCGCACTTGTTCGACCACCATGCTGCCAGCATCTCCGTCGAGCTGTCGACTCAATACCCATCGATTACGTTCGATCAACTTGACCTTGCTGTACTCTTCCAGATCCATCATCGCCTTGGCCGCTTCGAGACCAAGTAGACCTCCACCGACTACTGCGCCGACTGTGCCCTTTCGGGTTGCGGAAAACTTGATGAGATTTTCCAGATCTTCCAGCGTTCGATAGACGAAGACGCCGTTGGCATCGTGCCCAGGTGTGTGTCTCGGAAGAAGTGCATATGAGCCTGTGGCCAGAACCAGGATATCATAGGGTACTGTGTCTCCCTTTGCGGTCTGTACAGTCTTTGCGATGGTGTCTATTGAAGAAACAAGAGTGTTGAGGTGATATGATAGTGAGCCCTCGGGCATCGATGCATACCATGAGGCCGGATTTAAGTAAAGGTTTTCGGCTTCTCTGTGCTGGAAGAAACTGGTCAAGCCGACTCTGTTGTAGGCCAAATGCGGCTCTTCGCCGATGACTGTGATGTCGTATTCTCGTCTCTTCACATCCAGTTTGAGCAGCTTCTCGATGAAGGCAACCCCGACCATGCCCAGTCCGACCACGACTATCCTCTTCCTGGCTGTGCCATTGGGTATTTCCCCTTCAGCCTCCATCTCCGCCACCTTCTCGGGGAGGACATTTGCCTCTGCATCGTTCCACTCGCTGTTACTCATCGTGCGAGCAGCTTTGGAGCAGCACAATGTGAAGAATTACAAACGTACAGAAGAGAAAGACAAAACTTACAAGGGAACGAGAGCCATCAGCTCGACCAGACACGGGCATACCTCATCTATCAGGCCACGGCATGAGCGCCGCATCTCGTCTTCAGAGGCAAGCCAACGTGTGCCATGTTTACCCAATGCCATGCGCTCCGGAGAAGCACAACAGGAGCGAGCCGTGGCTGTCGACCATACAGAGCGCTGCAGATGACCATTGCCACAGCGATATCAGTCGAATTGCTTTGTTCGCTTCTCCGAGGGACGTGGGCAAGGGAAAAGATAAGGTCGCGTTGATAAACCCACCCTTGCTGCTGTCTTGGCAGCCTGCCGTTATTTCCCGATCGCAACTCGCGCCTCCCGTAGAATTCTCTCACGTGCCTTCCATCATGTGAGCGGAGGATCCGGCCAGGAAAGTTCGATCGCCCTCATCCGAAAAGCAACCTCATCCCAACTTCCACTCGAAACTTTCCGCCATTTGAGTGATGGATGGCCGGATCATTCCAAATGCAGCGTCAAAGCACTACGGTGTGAATGACATTGCATCTCCGGCATACCACAACGAACCCCAACATTATGCCTCGCAGCCAGGGTGGTAACTAGTGCGAGCGTAAGATCCACCACCTGCTGTCCCATTTCGGAAAGGTGATAGATAAGGGCATGCTGATTGGGAGACACCCCAAGCCTGATCCCGCAACGACGTGATGCTATTCCGCGGCAACCTCATGTCGCAGCTGCTAATCGTGATACTGCAGGCCATGCTTTCACACTGCTTCTCCTCGCGATGCGGCACACTCAAGGCTGATTGCGCTGGCGGTCGAGGAGATCGAGTGGTGCGTCTAGACGTAGGTCTGGTAGGATTGTCTGTCCTACAGTGACGGAGGTCAATTGGTGTCCCTTCGACCGCTGCTATCCTTCTCACCTATCTTTTTGTCTCCCCGTTGGCACTGTTTTGTGGTTTCGCATCAGCCATGGCAGCTACCCCTTTCACTTCAGAAGACAAGAAAATGCGACGCACGCCTGAGGATCTACCTCCTACGCCGCCAGACTCTCAGTCGGAGCACAGCGGCAGTGACAAGGCTGACAACGAGTCGGTACATGGAGATGCAGAGGCTGATTTTCCACTCCCGCCACCTACCGTAGAGCCGACTGAAGTGCTTGAGATCGACAAGAAGACGCCTGATGGCTGGCTACCTAGAGATCCGCGGCTAATAAGACTGACGGGTGTACACCCTTTCAACGTTGAAGCGCCGCTGTCAGATTTGTACAACGAAGGCTTCCTCACGAGTCCCGAACTTTTCTATGTCCGCAATCACGGCCACGTCCCACAAGTCAAGGATGAGGAGATTCCGGACTGGACGTTCACTATTGAAGGAATGGTTGAGAATCCCATCACCTTGACGCTTGCAGACCTAATGGAGCAATACGAGCAACAGACATACCCAATCACACTCGTTTGTGCTGGCAACAGGAGAAAGGAGCAGAATGTGGTGCGAAAAACGAAAGGTTTCTCATGGGGTGCCGCCGGTGTATCGACAGCGCTTTGGACCGGCGTCGTGCTTGGCGACGTCTTACGCAAAGCCAAACCCAAGCGAGGCGCCAGATATGTCTGCATGGAGGGAGCAGACAAGCTACCGAATGGTTACTACGGAACATCGGTTAAGCTGAACTGGGCCATGGATGCCAACAAGGGCATGATGCTGGCACACAAGATGAACGGCGAAATGCTACGACCGGATCACGGCAAGCCATTGCGAGTAGTGATACCTGGACAGATCGGGGGTCGTAGCGTCAAGTGGTTGAAGAGGCTCATCATTACTTCAGAGCCGTCCGACAACTGGTATCACATATACGACAACAGAGTCCTGCCAACGATGGTGTCGCCCGAAGAGGCCGCCAAGGGTCCAAAATGGTGGATGGACGAGCGATATGCCATCTACGACCTCAGCACCAACTCAGCTATCGCATACCCTGCCCATGATGAACAGATCAAGCTTGTCGACCCACCTCAAACATACCGTGTCAAAGGGTATGCATACGGTGGCGGCGGCCGACGAGTGACTCGAGTCGAAATCTCGCTCGACAAGGGAAAGACATGGCGACTAGCAAACATCGACTACGCCGAAGATCGTTATCGTGATGCCGCTCCTCGCCAGCTATATGGCGGTACTCTCGACCTCGAATGGAAAGAGGCAAGCTTTTGCTGGTGCTTCTGGGACCTGGATATTCCTGTATCTGAATTGGCCGATGCCAAAGATGTGCTGGTCCGGGCCATGGACGAGAGCATGAATCTTCAGCCACGAGACATGTATTGGAGCGTGCTTGGTATGATGAACAACCCGTGGTACCGGATCACAGTCATGAAAGAGGGCGATTTCTTGCGATTCGAGCACCCTACCCAACCAGCTCTCATGTCTGGAGGGTGGATGGAACGCGTCAAGAGTTCTGGTGGTGATCTCACGAATGGATACTGGGGCGAGAGGATCGATGGCGAAGAAAACACACAACCTATACTGGCAGCCGCAGAAGAAATAAAACTAACAGATGATAACGTGAAGAACGCGATAACGATTGACGAATTACGGAAACATGATACAGAAGAGGCGCCTTGGTTTGTGGTCAACGGCGAAGTCTTTGATGGCACAGCGTTCTTGAAAGAGCACCCAGGAGGAGCTCAGAGTATCATTTCAGCTGCTGCACTTGACAGTACTGACGAATTCATGGCGATACGTAAGCACTGCCCTATATTTCAATGGCACATTCCACTTACTGACATTGCGACAGACAGCGAAACAGCCAAAGCGATGATGCCTTCATACCACATCGGCACTCTGGACGAAGAAGCACGTGCCGCACTGTCAGGCGAGACAATAGAATCAGACACCACATCAACATCTCCCACATTCCTCGAACCTCGAGCATGGAAGAAAGCCGTCCTCACAGCCAGAAAGACCGTTTCCTGGGACACCAGAATCCTCACATTCAAGCTCGATCACGAAGAACAAACGCTCGGCCTGCCCACAGGTCAACACCTCATGATCCGACTACGCGACCCCGTCACCCGCGAAGCCATCATCAGAAGTTACACACCCATCTCCCAAACAACACAAAAAGGCTACATGGACGTCCTCGTCAAAGTTTACTTCAAAAGTGAAGGCCAAGAAGGCGGTAAAATGTCCATGGCTCTCGAACAAATTCCCATCGGCCATTTTGTCGAATTCAAAGGGCCGATTGGCAAATTCGAGTACCTTGGGAAAGGTCTCGCAGCTGTCAATAATGTCAAACGAGATGTGAAGACTTTCTATATGATTTGCGGCGGGTCAGGTATTACTCCAATTTATCAAGTCTTGCGAGCGGTGATGCAAGACAAGGACGACCCAACACGGTGCGTGGTCCTCGATGGGAATCGATTGGTCGAAGATATTCTGTGCAAGGAGGATTTGGATCAATTCGCCAAGGAGAACTCGGAGCGGTGTACGATTCTTCACACTTTGACGAAGGCTCCGGATGACTGGCAAGGTCTGCGAGGGCGTATTGCTGCACCGTTGCTGCGAGAGCATGTGAATAGGGAGAAGCATGGAAATGGCGAGGCAATGGTACTGATATGTGGGCCGGGTGCACTCGAGAAGAGTTGTCATGAGGCTTTGCGCGAGCTTGGGTGGCATGATGATGAGTTGTTGTTCTTTTAGACTGTATTCAGCATCTGCTGCGTATGATCCAGCCATATTTCGGAATGATACACAACAGTACTTTTCATGGAGGTCAATTGTCACTGCGGCTACATACAACTTCATCATTTGATAGCTGAATGATCCGATCACTCTGATCGCAGTTCCTTTTTCTCAAGCACAAGATCAAACCTTCGATTTGACGGTATAGCCACGCGACCAGAATCCAGGCCACTGATCCGGAACCGATTGCAAAATCCACCTCGTAATTATGGAGTTCACCTCCTGCGGCTTCTCTTGCGCAACCCAATGTCCAGCCTCAATTGAAGCTTCTGTTAGGTTCTTGCAGTACTTCCTCTGAGGCTCAGCAAGTGGCGACGTAAATGTATCGCAAACAGTATCGTAACGAGCTCCAATGAACAGAGTTGGCATCAGCAGGTATCCGTCGTTCTTCGCATCGTCGAAGAAGTACTTGCGATTGACTTCGTGATTTGAATACCAAGCATCGGCTCCATAGAACGAGGTACGCTCCATAGCTTCGACGAGATCTTTGTAGGTCTCTTCGTCGATGCAGAGGCGCTCAATTGGGAGCTGCTTCATTTGTGGGTCTGGCTTCTCAGCACCTCCGAACCAGCCACCATCAGCAGTGACAGTCGCAGTGAACCCAGGCTTGCCCAGACTCGCAGGGCTGCCCTTTGCGTAGAGGGCACGGATGATGGCTGCAGCATCTGCATCAAAGAATGCAGTTGCCTTGTCGAAGCTTTCCTCGTAGAATTTCTGGTACGACCACTGTCCGTAGGGGAATTTATCGGCAGGGTAAAAGTCGCGATTGACCCATTTCAGTTCCTCTTCGAGACCCTTTTCGATGACGTGTGATGGGACTGCTAGACCGGCTGCTGCCAGTGTCTTCTCCGGGTAGTGCTCTGCAAAACTCCAAACAGCACCGCAACCCCAATCGTGCCCGATCCAGATTGCAGCATCTCGGCCGGTATCTTCGAGCAGGGCGACCATGCCCAGGTTGAGTTGTTGCAAAGCGTAGTCTTCCTTCTGCTTCCTTGCTGTCGATCGGCCATAGCCTGGTACAGCGTCAGTGACGAATATGCAGATTAGTAATACTGTGATTCCTCTCACCAGGCATATCCGGGGCTACAACTCTGAAGCCCAGTGCGGAGAAGGTGTCGAGCTGAGACTTCCATGTCTTTGCGATTGCTGGCCAGCCTGGGGGGATGTCAGACAGTTTTCGATCATGTAATGCCCGTCATTGCGAACCATGAACGAAGATCAGTAATGGACCATCTTTGGGGCCGGCGGCCAAGTAGAAGATCTTCTTCTGGCCGTCAGCGTAGCTGACTTCGTGCTCTTCGTAGTTGGCCATTTTCAATTCGCTTGTGACAATTCTGTCTCGATCTTGAAAAGTAGGAACTTGAGGTGACTGCAGCTACAGCACGCTTTTAAAGAGGAGCGCAGTCTCTTGGCATTGGAAGCAATGGATCCGATACGGTTCAGCTCGGCTATTGCGTGACCTGTTTGGGCGAAGTGAGTGCGGGTTGGTCCTGCTTGGGCTTAGTAATGCGACACGCTGTCAGCTCTCCACTCTGGACTCAGGAACACTTCGCGTTTGTCACAGCCATCGCGAAACTTGATGATTAGTCGTATCATGGCTAAACGTATGACTCGATGCCGCTGAATCGTCGTCTTCCCAAGATGTTGTCTCGCACGATGCTCAGAATATGGCAAAGTGTGCGAATGGCGAGGGAAAGCGGTACGTACGGCAAACATGAGATCCTTGACATCAGCCCCGGCTTGCGGGCCGGCGCTGACCATGCTTCATAACCGCATGCGATGCTCTACGCGCGCTACTCGCAGCTGACACTTCACGTTGTGCACACGGGCTTCGGAAGCAGCTGCGAAGGAGCACAGTGGAGAGCACATGAGGAAGCCGCGATCCTCCAAGGGCTTTGGACAATTCCTTCGAGAGTGACAGCTTTCGAGCCCAAGCATCCTGCTACAAAACCGGCTGTTCAGGTGAACCTTTACTGCCGCAGAAACCCAGGTCCGCTGGAACTCACACGCGAGAACCCACATACTCCCAAAAATCGTGCCCGTCAAGCATCACCAAGCGCTTTGCTCTCAGGCTTAGCAGCCACAGCATCCTTCGAACGCATTACTCGCACCATGACGATCTCCTGATTCTCCTCCTCTTCCGTCGACTCTGGCAACCACGGCCTGAGATACTTCTCGACATACTCCTTGGGCATTCCAATGGCCGACGCCTCACGAATAGCTTTCACGATCCAGACCACGTAACCTCGATCAATCACTCCGTCCTCCGTCCTCTCCACATCGACATAGGTCGTAACCTGTACCTTCTGTCCCGAAGCACTACCATCCGCGTTGATTCTCTCCACCTCGAGCGAATGCTTCTGGTACAGCCACGGCACCCCTTCACTCTCGTCCAATCCGGCCTCATCTCGTGGCGAGAGGAAAACCAAAGCGCCGTAGACATGATCACCTTTCGATGGAACGATATTTCCAAATCCTGTGTCATTGATGTGCCATTTATAGTCTTCTAGACGTGCTAACCCGCAGAACAAGGAGTCTGGACAGCGACCTTTGATGGAAGAATGTGCGAGATTGCTTGCGTAGCCGAAGTATAGCTCACTAAAGCGTTTCGTGTAGTCGATATTCTCACTCTTGCTTGCGGCCGGTCTGGCCATGGAAGGTGGATACATCTTGACGATGACAGGGATGTTATATGAAGCCTTTCAGAATATCTTTGACAGGTTCTGTATCCCCGGTCGTGCTTCTCTTCCTTAGATCTGATGCTCCGAGCAGCTGTATTGGAGTGGGGTAGCTGCACAATCCATTGGCCCGGCTGCTCTGTCGACGAAAGTCAATTCAACAAGCGTTGGCGGCTTGCCGATACTGAGTTGACCTTTGCGGCCGAATGATTTCTCTCGAATCTGAACAATGCAGTTCATGTAGAAATCTCCTCTGCTTGACCATCCTTGGCATCCTGCCGCCGAGGATGATACACCACAATCGGCATATCATACGCCTTCTCAGGCACAATATCAATACGAGCCTTCGCAAACAAACGAAACCCATACTTCAAATAGAACTCATACCCCATCAAACTGCTCTCCACCACAACCGGCAGGCCAAATTGATCGGCAGCATCCAGTCCCCACCGCAACAGCCTCTTTCCTACTCCACCTCCTCGATGCCACGCGGGATCTACCATCAAGAATTGAAGGTGCAAGCAATTTCGTAATTGGTCATCGTTCTCATACGGAGCGTGAAGTCTCTCCGTAATCTTCGCCAAAGCTTGATAATCGACGATACGATTCAAGAAGTAACGATAGTAGTTCAAGTCCAGATTCACGAGACTAGACTCAAGTGCGTCTGCCCATCCTGAACGTTGCTGTCGCCATTGTTTTCCAAGCGGATTTTCGCTTCCTTGGGCTTCCCATGTTGAGAATCCGACAATGGAGGTCTGCTGTGTACCGTCTGTGGCGGGCGTTGTCGACTCGGCGACCATGTAGCGAGTCTCGGGCTTGATGAAGAAGAGCTTAATGCGTCGAAGTAGGAAACTGTAAAAGTCATCTTGGTATCGTCGTCGTTCTGGGATGAAGTGGTCGTGGAGCTCGAAGTTCAGTAAGTTGGCGTGGAGGACTTTGACGATATCGGGTATGTCTGCGCGAGTTGCCCAACGAATGACGATTTGAGGCTCCATGGTGAGTGGTAAGCTTGTGTGTTGCAATACTCCTGGAAGTTTGATGTACAGGATGTTTGTCTTGCAAGGGCGGAAATAGTTGTTGATGACTGTTTAAAGTCGCTTCTGACTCACGAGCTGCATGGAAAGGTCGATCGGTATGCGCGTCCTATTGTTGGCACCCGGCCGTGGATCCCACGAGTGCCGCGGTGTAACAAGTACCGAGTGTCAGAGTGATGGAAATGCACTTTGTTAATGAACCACGAGACTGTTGACAGATGCCGAGAGGTGGAGGCGTCTCGGGCCGGTGGCACTGGATCTCCCGTCGAAGATCGACTGTCCTCGCGACTCTGCGCACGTATTTCGGCAGGAGCGAGAAATAGACATAGATTTCAAAGTGAGGCTAGTTACATCAAACTCCTGCAGCAGCAGTGTCATCCCGACCTGGACGAGCGGCGTTTGTATCATTGACAGCAGTCTCCTGCTCTCGCGGCGTTTTCTCCTCCACTACTGGCGTCTTCTGCTCTCGTTGCTGTGCTTGATGAACCATGAAATTGGAGACCGAGCTATTGTTGCGCTTCCATCGAGGCCGTCGAATAAGTGACCACCATGCCCCAAAGATTTCCCATCTGCATAGCAAGAAGAATGCCTCGATACCAACGAAGCTCAATATGAACAAAGTGGCAACCGCAATATTTTCCGAGATGATGAAAGGACTTGTGAGGTTAAGACATTGTTCCTTTTCTTGTGTCTCGATTATGCAAAGAAGCCAAGGTATCAGCTTGTCGACGTTGTCAAATGCCTCAATGGTGAGTTCGTTGTCGTAGATCATGAAGACTACGCAGACGAAAGCGGTGGTAAAGACCGCCAGGAAGGCCAGAGTTATCAGATCGCCACTGCAGCAAGAGTACCTGTCGAACGCGACGAGCCTTTGCTCGCGCGCTTTGTGTCCGAGAAGAGCTGACGATCGAAGCAGACTTCGTCGATGGGTCGTTGCGCTTGTTCCATGCCGAGCTCATGTAGACCTTTATACAATAGATCATTGTTGCGATTTGGAGCAGGCAAGCTGTGCCTCCAAAACCGAAGAGCCAACCCCAATAAGTCGCGAGAGAACGTACATTGATGTGACAATAGCCTCCAAAGCGGTATGACACACCAGTATGAGCGAGAGTGGCGGTAGTCAAGCTGATGGTGATAGAGAACGCAGCCACATTGGCCGCGATGTAGGCGATTTTGTCCGGTGTGCGGTTCCAGCAAACCTGTACATGCATGAACAGACTTCTGATCAAGATCCAAACCACGTAGAACAGCAGGCCGAATGCAAGGAAAGCTCCAGAGAAGGCACATGTCAGGTCGCTGCCCTGTCCGTTTGGTGTGACTGGATCGAAGCATTGTTCTGGTTGTCGTGCCAGCGGGACGATAAATCCGAGCTCGAGGATGAGGATTCCGACGAGGATGACGATATTCAAGTACGATCTTCTCGTAATTGCTGATGGCAGAACTGCGTTGGAAAGGAGTAAAAAGCTACAGAGGATGAAGCCTGCCACATTCACCCTACGACGCCATCAGCATGGGAAATTGTCAGAGGTTGTAGAGACTGACCATGCAGCGCCATCAGTCAGGCGCTTAAAGTCGGCCTGGTAGGTGTAATCGTAGACAGGACACGGAATACAACATCGTGATGCATTTCCAGGTGGAGCTAATGGATTCTCAGCGCAATTGCGCCCTCCGTAGACTGCTATCTGTCAGTGCTTCTGCAATAGCGTCAGGCTGCCCAGGGATCACTCACAGCCTCCACGAAACGGGTGCAGCGCCTCTCCTATGAAGGGAGCGGGACACCCAGCTGCATCCTGGTTCCCCAATCTGCCTAGAAGGTTCCCAATGTCAGTAGACATGGCTGTCTCTCAAGGTGTGCTGGAAGATGATCAGGAAGGATTCGAATTGAGGCGCCATTGCCACAACAAGGTGTCCGACAATGAAAACATGTTCGGACTTGGCATGCGGCTGGTCTCATGTGCCAGGACAAAGGCCACTGGAGGGCAGACAAAGCGGCAGCCCAGGCATTCCACGGGCGGAGCACGCATTCTTTTGCTACTGTTGGGAGCACTTCTCGGCGTTGGCTCGGTCGAGCCTCGACATGTATCTTGCTGGTCTTGCGAGACCAGATCATTGTCGTCGCGTCGAAGTGTGGCAAGGGAACGCGCTGCGTGTCCCCACATCAACGGTACAAGCGCAGCTGTACTTGCTACCGAGAGTGCATTGTAGAAAGCGAAGAAATAGCCCTGAATCCGGTCGTTATGACAGCCGTGAAGAGTGCCATGTTGAGTATCCCGAGCCGCTGCCAGACGCGTGCCAGTGACACGTGTGAAAGGACGTTACGCCTTTGCGGATCAGTGTCCATGCGCGCCTCTATTCTTCACGCAATACCTGAGTAGGCAACACAAGTCTTGCTGTGCAGGCAGCTTGGGCAGGCGCCCTGAGCATGTCTTGGAGAAGGGTGATGAGAGAGAAGAAAAGGATCACTCATCAAGAAGGACTGGAAAGTGGACTCGGCTTCACTCGTCCGGGCGTCCCCGCGCAATGGGCCGCGCCAGAGCAGCTCGCGGAGTCACGTCACGTCGCGCAATAAGCAACTTGATCAGCTTGTACACGCGACACAGGACAAAGGACGCTAAGCATGGCCGCAGAATGATAACATTGGCCAGTAGGAAGCCGAGACATCTTTGCTTTGCTGGGTCGTGAAGCTCTACCACCCGGAAGATATGCTACTGATAACCCAGATATCATCCGCAGTTCACACGACCTCACCTGTTCTTTATCACACCGCAATGTGCCGCTGACTCTGAATTCCTCCTTCTCCCATTGTAGGACTCAGTAGTGATCGATCAATCATGGCACACCGACAGGCCTCTCTGCTCACGATCCCATGCGAGCTTCGAAATGCCATCTACCTGCTCGTTTTCGAGAACGAGCGTTCAGATTACCGAGGAGAGCACCCTCAAAAGCCAGATGAGCTCGCAGTCGCGCTGGAGCTCGCTGCAGAGAGTACATGTCCTCGGGCGAAGCGCAATGGCAATCAACTCGATATCCTACGCGTCTGCAAGCAGATCCACGACGAAGCCCATCTCCTAGCACTGTCCATGACTTCTTTTAACGTCTCCGGCGATGCCTCCTGGCCCGACCTATTCGACCTGCGCTCGCGACCATTGTCTGCGAGAAAGATTGGCGCGATCAAGCATCTCACATTGACCGCTCGCATCAGTCATTTGCGGCCAATGAACGAAGCATGGGCCGGGCTCCCATTCGGTCATCCCAGTCTAGACCTCGACACGTTGACAATCCTACCAACGAGACCAGATGTACACGCGCGTGCTCTGGCAGAAATAGCAGACTTGTCGCAATCGCACACGCTGGCATACATTTTGAGCGAGACTCTAAAGAGCTTGCGGAAAGTGAAGTGCGTGGAGGTCAGGAACGAGATGAAGTTCAATGAGGCGGTATGGAAGCTCTTCTATCGGAGCCTGGTATACAGACTCTGGAGGTGGGGAGGCTACCGTTGTGGTGCTCGGTTCGAGACGGGCGAGACACAGCCTGGAGGAGCCGAGGTCGAGGCCAACAGGTGGTTCCGAGTTCACTTGCAGAATGGGGATAATCGAGGTGTAGAGTGTGGTGAGGAGGTGGTCAGGCTGGTGGGCGACTCTGGTGAGCTGCCAGATCCGAATATGGCCGGCGTTGGTCCTTGAGCACATCGTCCTGCTGTTCCACAATATCGCCTGGCGGAGGCACCAATTTCCTTCAGTTCCTCACTTGCAAGGCCGCATTGAAGAGGCACGAGGCACAATGGACCTCGCGTCGCGTCGCGTCCCAGTCGCACGCAGGAAGAAAAGCCTGTGCTGCAGCAAACACAGCTCTCCGAACTTCGACACGCCGCCTTCGCGAAACCTTGTCACCCACGTCACGAACATCTCCCGCGCGACCATTGCCGTCGTTGCCAAAGCTCCGTCGCCATCACAATGGTCGCAGCTGATGTGGTCAGCCTCACCAAGGCGGTCGCTGGTGTTCAGCTGCACTCGCAGCCCGAGGCTCGGAGAACTGACAAGCAGGAAGTCAAGCCACGGTAAGCTGATCGCAGGAAGACATTCGCAAGGGATGACAAGCTGATAGTGATCAACAGCACTACTTCCGATCAACCTGCTATCGACGTGGAATCAAGTGGCGGCTCACAGACCGAAGTGGTAGTCAGTGGCAGGAAGGAGAAAGGACTGTGAGTTGGTCACAACTCGAGGACGAACTTGCGCATTGGTTGACACTTGACAGACAGATTTCTTCGACAGTGGACGAACTTTCGCCACCATCTTCACCTCCATGGTCAGTCCCAAAGTGTCTTCGTCGCGCTCATCGCAAGCTGACTCGATCCAATAGTGATCGCGACACCCGCTTCGAATTCCTCCCACGCCGTCCAGATGGACCATGCCCTGTAACGATAACGGACAGCGAGCCCAACAACGCCTTTTGCTTCGCACTCACCTTTATCAACTGCAGCTTCAGCGGCGACCGGCCATTGAGATTTGAGAACTGCATCGTCGAATGTGTTACATTCACAGATTGCCACTTCGAAGAGACGCGATTTGTCAATTCAGTACTCGTCGACATGACAGTGGCCAACGTCGTCTTCTGCGACTCGTGGTGGACGAACCGCCGTTTCACCCAAAACTTCATTACAATTGGTCGGGATCAGGACGACACTATCATGTTTGAGGGCAAGCGCGAGGGCTTGAACGATCGCATTCCCGCCGAGCTTCGTGATTCGAATTACAAGGAAGACCGGTGCGGCACACAGCAGCAGGGTGATTCAAAGTACCCGCACCTGACGAAGTGGTGGGAGAACATCGCAAACGTGATGAAAGACGTCGATGAGAAACGCACAAGTGGCCAAACATGGTGAGGATGGAAGTGATAGTGCTGTGAAGCGGAGAATCGCGTACTCTCAGCTCCAACCCTCTTGTGGTTACTATTACAAGATTTCAGATCCGGTGTGCATAGGATGAAGTCTCCTGATTAGATTAGCGGAAGCAATCAGACTGAATGAGTCTCTTGACGTTCTCGCGTGCTTTTAACTACCCTATTTAACTACTGATGGCAACCTATACCACGCGCGGTACAGCGTATGCTTTGACATCCAGCGTGTACGTGGTAGCGCGACAATTCGTGCATTATGACCACTTCATCAAAAAAGTGCAAGATGGGCATGCATTTATGAGCTGCCTGCCAAGACTTGTGCAAAGTGATGTCTTCATAATTACACCGCTTGCCTTGGATCATGTTGTCGCGCGACATCCACGTGCTTGCACTCGCAACGCGCTACACTACAAAGCAACGATAAGGATTGCAATAGTTCTCCATATACAGATCCGAACAATGTCGTCCACCTGGCCGCCTGCGTCAGGCCTGACCACGAAAGTCGTACCTCGCAAAGAGGCCGTATTTCAGGTATACTCGTCCAGGACAATCGCCGCGCCCGCATCACAAGTCCTCGAAACAGTGCTGCACATCGAAAACTACAAAGCATGGAACACATGGATCCCAAGCGGCCGAATCATAAAGCAAGACACAGCCAACGGCGAAGAAGAAGCCAACAACCTCACCCACCTCCACAAAAACACCGCCTTCATCTTCAACGTAATCATGGACTCCAACAAACCCACGAAATTCACAGAAACCAATCTCATCGTCACCGACAGATCAACACCCTCACAGCCATCAGACTATTTAGATCCTGAAATGCTTCAAGACCCCAGTTTCGAGGCCGATATCAATAAAGTCTATCGCGTCTCATGGGCAACGCATGGCGGTTGGATGACGAAAGGTCTCAGAAGCGAGCGCTTTCACGAAATTATCCCGAAAGCGGGAAAAGAGAATGAAGAATGTGAGGTTCGTACGTGGGAGATTATGGGAGGTGTTTTGGCGTATACTGTTAAGTGGTTGTTTCAAGGTACGCTGCAGGAGAAGTTTGAGTTGTGGACGAGGGATTTGAAGGGTTGGTGTGAGAAGCAGGCGGCAGAGGAACAAAAGGCTTGAACTCTTTTGACTTGGCATTTTGATACTGATTGATGAAACTTGATGTGAGTTGGGTTGGGTTTGGGTTGGAAATTTGGAGTACCGGTATCCTGGTTGTGTATAGCGTGGCTGTGGCACGCCTTCGTCATTGCAACTTTTTTCGGAAGTCTACTTTGAAGCACAGGCGCTGCATCGAAAAGCTCGATGAAAGGACCCTTGGAGGGTTTAGTTGAAGTTCGGGTGCAACGATGGCATGCAGTACCTCGTGTAGTGGAGCAGATCTTCTAGCGTTGGACTGAAGCTAAGGGAAATCAGACCTGCCCTTGTCTTTAGTGCATATCGAGAAGACATCGATGATTTCAAGGAAGTGGCTGAACATCTTTCAACTGCTTCATCTTGCGATGAAGCTGGATCACAAACAGCTGCGTCATGTTCGCTGTACGCGAACATTGGCATTGTACTGCACATTGGCTGTCGTCCTCTGATGAGTGGGTCGCTCATGAGCTGGCTTGCTGCAGCGCAATGCAGTCTGCAGGGGATCAGCAGACTTCCAAAAAGAAGAGACGTGGCGACTGCCAGGTGCAATGCAGCCATTAAACCCAGACGCCTTGATTGGCGCCTTCGTCCATGTCCTAGTATGCGGTGCACCGACGTGCTTGACAGTGTGGGGGACGGCGTGGTTCGCATCACGTTGGCATGCGATTGAGGAAGCACATGCACAACCACATCTGATCAACCTGATACAATGTGAAGCAAGAAGTGATGCAAAGAATTCAATATTTTTCCTTGATCGACTGGTTCGTGGACCTGCACGCGCTAATGAGAATCGAAGTATGTGACATGTTCGCAAATCATGCACCGCTGTGGGAATAGATAGTAAAGCCGCCGTCGCCCATTTTTGCCTGTCCTCCTGGGGAATTTTTGATAACTCAACGCCTTCCTCCCCCAACGCACTCATGCAGCCAAGCTGAATTCGGTTCCAATATCTGTTTGTGTGATCGCTGTCCAGCTCGATCTGGCTTGCTGGAAGAGTCTCGCTGCGCCGGCTTTGCTTCGTCCAGTTCGTAGATGCTCGCAACAGTCGTAGAATGAAACAGTACTGTCTTCTTCCCAGAGTGATTCTGCTATTATCCTTCGCACCATCACATCTGTCCACTTGATGTGGTCTTCGCGCTTCACAACTGGCAGATCTGTGGAGTTCTCGATCGAGTACAAGAGTCGTAAGGCTTCAACAAGCAGATCTTGTTTCCACTTTTGGGGTCCGTTTAGTGGCTCGAGCGCGATGAGTTCGCGTAGCATCCATGTGATTTTGTAGTATTCGAACTTCCACTCTGTTGATGCGCATGCCGGGACTGGTGTTGAGAGTAGGGAATTTTGCTTTTGCTTGCGTGTGATGGTTCTTGCTTGCACTGGCCATATCGATGGTGACAAGACCTCAGCCATGGTGACTTGGTAAGAGATCGATAGAGCCTGGTTCGTTGATAATGCTCTATAGTAAATAGAGCTCGAAACACAGAAGAGAAGTAGAGTGATGCAATGTCCTGAGGTCTGACTGGCGTATTGATGTGTATGTTGGTGTGAATGGCCAAGATATGGTTTGGAGATGGTTGACTGGTGAGTGGGTTGCTATGTCGATTGAACGTTGGCGGCGAGAGACATAGACATAGGGCATTTAACAGAAAGATCGGCACCGAAGCGAGACCTATAGGGTACACGCCACGAAGAGTCCTGCACACCCTGAACGAGATTCCACGGTACCCAGGCCTACCCATGTTTCGAGTTAGCTGCGCCTCTGTAGGGACTTGGGATCGATCTCGGCCTATGGACTCCGTGTCGTGGCCGCCACGAGCCCGCCATCGCATGTCTGGGCGCGTCGCTTCCCATGTGCCTGCGTCGCTGTGCTCGCCGGAAGACGTCGCTGCTGCTTGCGCTGAACGCCATTCGTGCTGCTGCGGTGGCCCGCGGGCGTCGCACTGCAGCTGCTGCAACAGCTGATCAGTCGAGCGGCTGGAATGGCCGGTCGCGGTCGGTCTCACGAAGACACCGACCCGCGTCCGCAGAGCTGCGGGAGCCCGACTGCAGTGGCGTGACGCGTCGCATTGTGCGGGCTGCTACGCAATCTCTTCTTGGGTTGGCGACTGTGACGAAGCTTCTCCTGGCAGTCAGTCTGACTTCATGCCATGTCTCAAGTGCCTGCGTCTGCGTAAGACAGACGGTGTGACTGGCTGTGGTGCTCTTGGCAGTCGCCGTGAGTTGTTTCAAGCCACTGTGTACATCCCGGCGATACAACTCCAAGCCACGAAGGTCTGGCCAAGCCATCCGCGATCTAGCGAGGACATCCTACTGTGACCAGAACCCAACTTGGACTTCTGGAGTCTCTGGATGAGCCAAATATTGGCCGCGCCTCATGCCAGCTGTCACAGAGCTCCCGTCGCTACGCAGGACTTCTATTCAAGTGTGAAATGCTTCTCCCGCTCCCGAATTGAACCAAGAATGGTGCTCGATGTCCGACATAAACCGACAAACAGACAAGAGTCCCAAAGTGTGGCGGAAGTGTCTTCGCGCCACAGACCTGCGTCCCTATCCTGATCGTGAAATTAGGCAGTGAGCAGATCCTAGACAGCACATCGCTCGTTGACTCAGTCCAGCAATCTGTGAGCAGAGGCTAGGCCTTGACATCGCCGGAGGCAGCAGCTGCATTGACTTGCGATGAGGTCACGACAAGGAGACGTCTCACCGTATGCTCTGCTAGTATTGTCATATTGCGCGATCATCCACGGCGTAGAAGACCTTTTCCCTGCGGCGGTTTTGACCGGCGGAATATGGCCTGCTCTGCTCGGGTTGCCCGAGTGCGAGATGGGGCCTTGATTGTACCGGCTTGATGAGAAGCACATTTGATGACCTCGTTGAGCGTAAGAAGTCAGTAGTCTTGTGATCGAGCCCTGAAGTGCAACAAGCATTCGTCTAAGCGCATTGGTATGAATCGATCAATGGGCAGGAATCGGGGAATCGCGAGTGTTGTTCGTGGATCCTTCACCCTCTCTGCGTTCTTGCACGTCAGCAAATGTCGGCTGTCCAAACACCAGGTAGTCCATCACTTTAAACGCTCGAGAGCCTGACGTAAGAGCGGGCGAGAGACAGGGCGATAAGTCGGATGTTGCGACGATCGCATCCTGGGTTGCCAATGCGAATACACAAAACGAAGAGGAGAGACTCAAGAGTTGGTTTGGTCTTGGCGGGCTATGGTTTGATTCTGTTACGAAGCCTGCTGTCTGCTGATCGCTCCTCCCAAGCAACACACGAAATTAGCGCTACAAAAGATGACTGCCTGTTTTGACATGATCATGCTTTCCTCAGCCTGCGTCCAGGCTTGGCGACCGCCTTGTCTGCATCTTGGAATCTCACCTTCATTCCCGCTTTTGGAATGGCTCGTATCTAATGCGCGAGGTGACGCAGAGCAATTTCTATCATGTTTGCTGCAACATCGTTGCTGGGCATCAGGCGACTTCATGGAGAACTCACGATTGCGTTCAACTGTTGCGTCGTTTGCGACGTGACGTGCGTGCTGGCTCAGGCCTTTCTGAGAGGAGAGGGAGGTTGCAGAACACAACACCAACATGTGGACGACCATGACTAAGGGCAAAATACCACTGCAAATGCTCCCTCTGTTCAGCTTCGCGAAGCTTTTTTGAACAGCTGAGATGATCGGAACTGTGAGGATGTCTTCACCCTCGCCGCTTTCCTCCATGCTCTTTGCCGCCTCGACTACTTCGTCCCCAGCCAGCGTGCTCCGAAGCACTCTTGCTTTCCATCGTCTTCGCCGTATCTCAAGTATTTCAGGACGTTCCCATGGCCTACCTCTGGGGTCGCCCCTCATTCTGGAGTATCTGGGTCTCGTGGCCGGAATTTGATCGCGTGCGGATAGTTCTTCAGATCGGGCCGTTCCCATCGCGATCATTTGTTGAAAGGTTTGAACAAGCGACGAGGCGGTGTTCTCTGTGGTCGACTGTCGTTCCGCGGGGCACGATGCCGTAAATAACAACTTAAGCTGTGCAAATTGCAGCCGCCATGCATCATTCTCTCACTCTGCTATTGGCTTCTCTCCCCAAGCGTGATCTCGGTGATGCACTCGCAGAGCTTTGCATCTTGCGTTTGCCGTTACTCTCGTATTCATCAGTGACACTGCGCAGGAACAAGATTGGCCGGAGGCGTGCGGCTTGAGTTGGTACTGACTACAGCAACCTGCCCTAAGTCTGTATCCTTGGCACCTCCGCGGTACTACAGAGTCAGAAAGGCAGCGGCGCGAGACACGGCCGAGACTTCATTTGCCAAGAGATCCCACGTGATGGCGCACCCTTTCTCACCACGTCCTTCTTCCCTTCCACCTCGCCCCGACCTCATCCAACATTCATCTCAGATTTCGCGTGGCCAACGCTCACACGTGGTGTGTGCTCAGCACGCGTAGCGGGGCAACCACTGCTCTGCAAAAATCAAAGTTGGCGAGCCGTCATTTTGTCGTTGCTTCTGGCCGACACTTTAAAATCCAGCATCCAAAAATGGTAGAGTTCGCTCCTATGGCTTGGAGCCAAGCAACTTTGAGATTCCGCATTGGAGTAAAGTTCAGCGGCACGTCCTGAAGCGGCAGTGATAGCACACGATTGCACTATCAAGATTAAATGGCGTTTCTTCACCTGGTTCGGCATTCACTCTGCCGCCGCCTAGTCTGCAGACCACGTCGACCGTACTAACGCCAAGATGCCTCCTCATGCGATGGCACTGGTAGCGTAGCCGACGGTGAAGGTCGACCTGACTAGCCAGCGCATCGTACAGTCGGCACGATACGAAAGCCCAGAGGCTGCCGGCTCATGGTATGATTGGGAGCGGCATGGCGTTGCGGGAGCAAAGACACAGGCGCCTTCGTTCGCTGAGAAGATATATATACGCAGCACAAGCCCCTGGACTCTGATCTGGAAGTGCCGACGACGTTGATGATCCTCTTCTTTCTCTTCTCTTTCCTATTTGGGCTTTCGTAATATTCTATTCTATCGCGCGAACACACTTACTAAGATTGTAACACACTTACTAGGATTGTAGGGTCCATTGACCCAACAAGCACACAGGCGCCATGCCGGCCACTGTCAAGCTCTCCGCGATCCTGTTCAATCTGGGCCTGGCATTGGCTTTAGACAGATGTCCCACTGCAGAGACATCCTACACTGGTGCCACCGGAGCTAAATGGGCGATATGTCCGGATACGGATCTACAGGGCAACAGTGTTGCAATGCACAACAATGTCGGCTCCGCTCAAGACTGTGCAGCGAGATGCAATGCTGACGGGAGATGCACCCGCGCGGTCTGGGACTCCCAGGGCAGAGTGTGCCATATTAAGGCGAACAACATCCCAAATGCGAATTGGGTCACCGATGGACGCTTCGACGTCATACGTCTCAACAACGATTTGAAGGAGGGAACTGTCATCGCCAATTGCCCTTTCACCACCGGCAGCTACACTTCGTCAGGTGGTACACGATACCAAGTCTGTCCAGACACAGATTACCGGGGCGCGACCGCGCAGGGAATCAATGGTGTCACTTCTCAAACCGCGTGCGCTCAACGCTGCGGAAACACAGCCGGGTGCACTAAAGCCGTTTACGACAAGGTCAACCAGTTTTGCCACCTCAAAGACACAGTAGATGAGGCCACGCAAGTCTGGAACCTGAACAGACAATACGATGTTATCCACGTTGTAACGAATTACAATCCCGCAACTCAAGGTCGCTGGACTGACTTGATCCGACTCCCATTGATCCCAGTCGCTACCTATGCAGTACCAGAGTACCCAGAATCGTCTCGACTGCTATTTTTCTCCTCTAATGGCCTTGATACTTTTGGAGGTTCTGGCGGATTTACACAATTCGCCGATTTCAATTACAAGACAGGCGCAGTCTCACAGAGAGAAGTTGCCAATACGCAGCACGACATGTTCTGTCCTGGAATTAGTGCACTCGCCGATGGGCGTGTCATGATCACGGGAGGCTCGAATGCCGAGGTCACCAGTATCTGGAGCCCAGAAACAGGCGCATTTACACGAGGACCCAACATGGACCAGGCCCGAGGATATCAGAGCTCGACTACGCTCTCGGATGGTCGTGTCTTCACTATCGGCGGTTCCTGGTCTGGCGGAGAAGGCGGCAAGAATGGCGAAGTCTACGATCCAAAGGCCAATACTTGGACTTGGCTCGATAATGCAGATGTTGTGCCCATGCTCACAGCCGACCCTGGCGGCCAATATCGCAGCGACAACCATGCGTGGTTGTATGGCTGGAAGAATGGCAGTGTCTTCCAAGCTGGACCCAGCATCAGACAGAATTGGTGAGTAACATTCTCCTTCCAATGAGCAGACATCGGACCACTAGACAAAACTAACACTGAATAGGTACGGAACCTCCAACAGCGGCTCAGTCCAACAAGCCGGCTCCCGCCCCAACACCGACCACCAAATGTGCGGCACAAGCGTAATGTACGACAACGGCAAAATCCTCTCCTGCGGCGGCAGCAGAAACTACGACGGCGCAGAATCCACTCGCGCGACACACATCACCACCATCAACAACGCCTTCCAATCCGCAACCAACGAACGTGTCGCAGACATGTCCTGGCCTCGCATCTACCACAACAGCGTCGTCCTCCCCGACGGTAAAGTCCTCGTCACAGGCGGAATGAAATTCGGCGCAAATTTCAAAGACGCCCCAGGAGTAATGAAAGCCGAACTCTTTAATCCCTCTACAAAACGCTGGACCGTCATGGCCCCCGAGGCCGCTCCAAGAAATTACCACTCTGCTTCGATTCTTCTCGCCGATGCCCGAGTCTGGTCTGGCGGAGGCGGACTCTGCTGGCAAGGTGGGAACTGCGGTAAAGAGAACGACCATCCAGACGGACAAATTTTCAGTCCACCTTATCTTTTCAACTCCGATGGTTCTGCCGCCGCACGTCCCGTTATTAATTCCGTTTCTACGACTTCTGTTCGCGTAGGCGGTAGTTTCAGGGTGCAGATGAGTAATACTGCCACTTACACTTTCTCCTTGGTGCGCTTGGGTTCAGCTACACACTCCGTGAACACGGATCAGCGCAGGATCCCCATTACAGGATCGAGAAGCTCTTCGACCTGGACTTTCCGACTTCCAAATGATTCTGGAGTTTTGATTCCAGGGAATTGGTTCCTCTTTGCACTGAACAGCAATGGGGTTCCTAGTGTGGCAAAAACTATCAAGATCGGGGTTTGAGAGGTTTCATTGAAGCATTGCGCCTACGAAAATGTCGTAGCAATCTGACACAGCACATGGGAGCGAAGCAGAGTATTGTTTCTCGAGAGCAATGTACAATGATTGTTAGCCGTGTGACCAAGAAACTATGTACGTCAAAATCGGCCGTTTCGCGTTCGTCTGTTACCTTCTGCTGCCGTACTCGAATGTTCGTATCAGCCTGTTGCTACAAGATGCCGAAACCGTCATCAAAAGCAAAGAGCGGAGATGCAACTACTTTAGCCCGAATGCCACAGCGCCTTCCCAACTGTGGACGATGTCCAAAACGAACGCCGTCTCCCACATGCGATACAACGCCAAATTGCGATCAAGCCTTGTCCTTAGCTCTTATGTGTAGGACCGCATCGCATCAAGGTAACCTGAACCCCCCTTGAGATCGCGGTCGAAAGTCTCCGCCACGTCCAATACCCGCTTGATGTGGCCCATGGTCAATTTCTGTCCTTCGTTAATAGCCAATGCCTGTGCTGTACGAGCCATGTTTTTGATCTGCCGACCGTTGAGTCGATGTCTGGAGAGAGCAACGAAGTCCTCTTCGCTGAAATTGTCGACCCCAACGACATCCTTGGTGTCGTTCTGCTCGTTCAGTTCACCTTGCTTGCGAACACGTTCAATGAAATTCTTCCAAATTTCCTTGCGAGCCTTTGGCGTCAGCTCATCATATCGCAGAGCAACATGAATGCGTGACTGGAAAGCATCGTCGAAAGTCTCCACTCTGTTGGTCGTGAGGAAGAGAATGCCTTGGAAGTATTCAAGCAAGCGCAAGAAGATCGAGACCAGTGCGTTGCGGTGTATGTCGTGCACCTCTCGTTTCTCCAAAAATACATCGGCCTCATCAAGCAGTAGCAGAGCGCCCCAAGAGTGGGCAATGTCCAAAATCTTCTGCAGCTCCTGCTCAAGTCGGGCGGGATCAGTGCCAAGTTCTCCGGCTGAGACGATGTACAACGGTGATCGCAATGCCTCGCTAACGGATTCAGCTGTCAAGGTCTTTCCAGTTCCTGGTGGGCCATGCAAGACGAACACCAGACCTTTGCCCTTGCCTTGGATTACGTCGTCAATGGCCTGGGCAGGGTGGAACTTGTGGCTCTCAACCAACGCACGGACAGTGCTCTTCTTGTCGTTGGGCAGGACCAAGGAGTCGTAGGCATCATCGTTCCAGACAATGTCTTCAACACCAGAAAGCGAGAATTCGAGCCACAGCTTCTCCGAGAAGGCGAACCCAAGCACTACGGGTGAAGTCAACAGCAGTTGCTCTTCAGTGTAAGTGCGCTTATCCAAGGTCTCGATCTGCTGGGATCGAATAGGCTCGCCATCTTCGTCAACTTCCACAGCGACATAATGAGGTTCGCCCTGGGCATCTTCCACCCACTTGTACTTGAATTTGGACTTTTGACTGTTACCGCCGCCGAACTCATCGTCCTCCAGCTTGTCATCCGCACCGGGTGCATCGTCGTCGCCTGGGTCGCTGCAACACGAGCAGTCGTCATCCTCGGAGTCGCTGAAAAGGTCGTCCGATTCCTTGGGCTTGATGATGGAGATTGGGTAGTTCGCGTTCACTCGGCGGAAGGTGGCCGGGTCCACAATAATTCTGCCTGAGATGTTGATCTTGAGTATCGCCTTCTTCTTCTTCATGAATGCGAGACCTTTGTGAGACCGGTACTGCATTCCCTCCATGTTGACAAACTTCTCGCCGCGGGCGATGATTTGCTTTCTGATACCCTCGGGATCGCGGTGATACTTCAGCGGATATGCAGCCAGACTGGTGATCTTGCGTGGCCCCTTGAAAGATTCGATGTCGACCTCAAAGTCACCAAAACCGAAGCTCTTGCCATCGTACTCCATGTACTTCCCTTCGATGCAATACCATTCCCCCTTGGCAATTGTGGCGTACTTCATTGCCCAGTCGGCCTTGAAACAGCGAGGGTGCTCCCATGCGCCATAGCAAGAGGTGATAGCGATGTCATTGGGTGTGAACAGCGCCCAGAGTAGGTCGAAAGTGATGTTGCCGGCAGCCAATAGTGGATACAACGTCTTCTTGGTTTCGGCGTAATCATCGTCGATAAATTGGACGAGTGTTCTACACACAGCCTTCTGCTGTTCCAGCTTCTTGACCACCTTCTTCTTGCGCTCAGCCTTGATCTTGCTCTTCAACGTCTTTTTGTAGTACGTTCGCAGGTCTTCGAGGTACAAGAAGAGCAGGTTCGGGTCGATTGTGGGCTCCTCGGCCTCGAGACTCACACTCTTGCAATCTTTCATGACAACTGCCAGAACAGCTCGCAGGGCTTTCGATTTGATATCGATGACGGTGCTCTGGTATTTGTTCTCCCAATCGAATCGTCTCCGCACCAGGAAAGCGTACTCTGTAAATTCGCCCTCCTCTTCTTCCGCGCTCTCCTTCAGCTTGTAGTTGTGTATGGTGCTGTCCCAAAGCTGATCAACACGTTTGTAGTCCAAGCCATCTGCTTTCTTGCTCTTACGCTTCGTACTTGACGTTGACTTGATACTCGCACGTCGCTTCTTAAGCGCGCTCTTCTTCGGGTTGGTCTTCATTTCGTCAATCTTCGCACTGAGCTCTTGCAGCTGAAGTTGTAGGGCGGCCATGTCGTCCTCGCCATCGCTTCCAGCCTCTTCAGTCTCGGTGTCCGCGGCCTTCTTTGCTTTCTTCGTTTTCTTGCGCCGGCGTGCAGAATCGTCCTCGGAGGAGGAAGAGCTCTCCTGCAGTAGTCAGTATCAAATAGTTGGTGACCACGTACCGCCACACATACCTCACTCTCGGAATCCTCGCTGTCACTTTCCGACTCCTGCTTCTTAGTCTTACTCTTCCGCCGCTTCTTGCTCGCCTTCTTCGTTTTCGATTTGGCCGACTTCTTCTTCCGCTGCTCCTCTTCTGATGAGCTGTCGGAGCTGTCGTCCGAGGCCGATTCGTCGTCGGAGTCGCTATCGGAGCTAGAATCGTCGCGAGAGGACTTCTTCTGGGAGGACTTCTTTCTCTTCGGCTTGGATCGTTTCTTGTGCTTCGGCTTAACGCACTTGGCCTTCTTCTTCGCAGCAGCTGCCTTCACCTGATCGTCGGCGACCTGCTTGTTGGCGGGCTCATCGGTTTCCTGGCGCTCCGAGGCGGCGGCGGCGTCATCCTTTGACACATCGTCCATGGTGCCGCCACTGACAGCAGTCCGCAGGGCGGTGATCGGCGGTGCAGTGGTTCGCTGGGGCGAGTCAGAAGGCGTTGAGGCGGGCGTGTCCAGCGGGGATTCGCGTACAGAAGGAGTGGAGGTGGGCGGATGAAATGACGTGTCAGTAGCTAGCTGATTGCTCATGAATGCAAGTGAACTGTCTCGAACATGCGAGGCGGGTAGCAATAGTTTGCGGAGCGGTGAAGACGGGAGGGAGAGCGGGCGGGAAGAGGAGCTTCTTCTGCTGGGCACTGTGGGCGGCGCTGCAACGAGGACGTGGTGGTGGCAGAGTGGATAGAGGAAGCGGTCGGTGTGCCATCAGCACCTGCCGGCATTGTCTTATAAGTACCGTACAGTGGCGTGGCGCCAGGCAGGCAGGCAGGCAGCGGGCTCACTGGGCGGCCATCCAGCGCTCAGTCGACGACAGCGACGCGCGGGTCCAGCTGCGGCGGTGATGGTATCGAGATCACTCGGCCAAAGTGAGGCTGTTGACGCGAGAGACCGCCTTCCACGCGCCCTCAGAGCTGGGATACCGCCGGGGATAGGCGGCTGGCAGGCAGTAGCGCGCTGTTCTCCATGTCTCACGGACCCATGCCTGTGGATCACAGACGCCACCCGCATGCAGGTCGCGCTCCCGTCTTGCAGCTGATCGCGAGTGCGTTCGTCCTCTTTTCCATCCGTTGTCGTGTTGCAGCAGTCGCGGCGCGCATCGTTGCCGAACTCGCCGTCAGCCTCAACTAGGCTTGTCCGAGGTGCTGCGATGCCCGCATGAAGCTACGCCAACGTGAGCGGGCAGGCCGATCGAAGGTGGCATGCAGCGAGCCAGTGGCCGTGGAGCAGTCGTTCGTGAGGCTGAGCATGGTCCCCATCCCCGGGCCACAAGGCCGCCGCCGGGGTCTGGGGACAAATGTGTCACTGTCAGATGCATCCTCAGCCGTTGGCCCTAGAACGACTGACTCTACTGGAGATGGGGGTTTTGCCTGCGAAGGATCACTGGTCTGGACGAGCTAGGAGCACTGCTCTAGCGCGATGCAGACACCGGTGACAGACCAGTGGCGCCAGGCAGCGCAGCACAGTCGATGGGAGAACGTCGTGTCTCGCTCGGCAGCTTGAAGGTTGGCGGTCGCCATGGCAGGCAGACTGCAGAGCAATATAGAAGAACGATCGCAACGAAAAGTGCAAAATTGGGTCAGGCTGGGATAGGCATAGCTCCGGTAGTTGCTCGAGTGACATGGCGAGAGGCCGAAAAGTCGTGGGCGCTGGGCTGGGCAGTGGACATGGAAATAAGAAAGACGACGACGCATTCCGATGTTCTGCCAGCTGACGCAGAGCGGGGATGGCCAACTGCATATCATGTCTGCGAACGCAGCTGGGTCCGAGGGGAACAGCAGAGTGATGACTGCTTCGTTTGTACAACAGCGCAAAGGGATAGTTAGCGGCCACGACTTTGTGCTAGATGGCCAAAGAAAGCATCGTCCTTATCTCACGGAGCCCGGATCGACGCGCATGCAGAGTTTGGGAGAGGGCAGTGGTGGGACAGCATCATCGTCGTGCAGTAGAGAGCCATCATCACCTGCCTGTCACGCCGCGCGCGTGCCTCCTCGCGCCTGAACGGCCTCGATGCGCTCCCCCGGCCGGCGAGCTGCCTGACCACTGCCACTCCTGCGCCGGCCGCCGATGCTGCGGTGCGCCGACGATTAGGCCATCATGGACGGCTCGCAGTACTCCAAGCCCAGGGATGTCGCGGCCGGTCCTTCGAAGCACGCCCGGCCCGCCCAACACGACGCATTGGCGGCGAAGCGCAGTCGACCGTGCGATGCGTGTCGTCGCAGGAAGTCCAAGTGCGTGACCGAGGACGGCAGCTCCATCTGCGTCCTCTGCAGATTCCACGGCCAGGCCTGCACCTACATCGAAGCACCCCAGCCACGCAAGCGCAACACGCAGGCTCAGGCTCAGGCTTTGAGCGCCACCGCCAGCACCGTCTCCACCGCCTCGCAGGTGCCATTGAAGCGAAAGCGGACCTTGCATCTCAAGCCGGGCACGGGTGTCGAGGAGTACGACACGCTGCCGGGAAGCCTCTTGACGCGCACCTTGGGCTTGCAGAATCGCCACCACAGCGAGTACGTCGGTCTGAACGCCGTGCCGGACGTGTATAGCAGCCATGCGGTCGACTCAACGGCAACTACGAGCGATGGAAAGCAGAAGCAAGACTACATCCGCTTCGTCCACCCGTCTCACGCCTTCCGCATCATTCCAGATGAACAAACGGAAGGCTACGAGCAAGAACGGACTGTCGTCGATGAGATCGAAGCCCTCGCCAACGGCCATGGCAAGAAGCTTGTCGAACTCTTCTTCCGCGTCGTTCATCCGAGCTTTCCCATCATCCACAAGGACGTCTACTTGGAAAAGTATGCGCGATCGTATCGCGAATTCTCGCCACCTCTGCTTGCGGCAGTATATTTGCTCGCCTCCAGCTATTGGGCCTACGATGAGCAACTGGCAAGGTGTCGCATGATCGATACAGCAGCGTTGCAAGCCCTGGCTTTCAGCTCCCTTCAAAACACAATGCGAAGGCCAAAGCTCTCTACCATACAAGCTGGTTTGTTGCTATCGCAGTGGCAAAAAGCGTGTAAGTGCCTTCCTCTCCATGCTTTTTAGTCCGCACAATCTAGCCGACTACAGTGCCGTCTTGTCTCTGCGACGTACATGTGAGGAGCGAGAGGGCTAGCGACGGCCATAGGAACGCAAGCTGACGTCGTGGCCCGCAGTCATGGGAGCATCAAACGACAACCGCGATCGATTGACAGTACAGCTTGTGAACATTGCGCATGGTCTTGGCCTGCATCTCGACTGCTCGCACTGGGAGCTACCGGATTGGGAGATAGGTCTGAGGAGACGCATCGGGTGGGCATTATTCATCCAGGATAAGTGGACTTCCTTGCTTGAGAGCCGGCCTTCTCTTATCAGCATGGACGACTGGGAGGTCGAAGACTTGTCTGAAATGGACTTTCCTGAGAACGTCGAAGATGACCAAGAAGGGAGCGGCGAGGTCGAAAGAGGCCGCCTCGTCTTCACGTACATGGCGCACCTCTCTGTCGTTCTCGGAGAGATCCTACGAAGCATCTCCTCGGCACGTGCAAGGCGAATGCTTGGAGGCGCTGCAGATCCTCTGGCCGTACTGCTGGAATGGATGAAGCCGCTCCAAATAAGTCTCAAGGACTGGTTCGTTACACTTCCCGAAACACTCAAAATGGACACCGCGGCATCCATGAAACTTTCGTCGGTAGGCTACTTACGCTTAGCCTACCTCACAGTTGAGGTCTGCCTTCACAAAAAGCTTCTTCGAACGTTGAACGAGACAGCCCGCCCGGACCCAACCATAGCACAAGTCTGTCGAGCTGCTGCAACGGAAAGATTCAGTAATGGCACAGACTTCGTACAAAGACTGCAAGCGCAGCATTTGCACTCTTTCTGGTACTTCCCATCGGCGAAATGTTGCGCGTTAATACACGCTCTGGGTCAGACACTGTCATTCACAAGCTTCAGCGATGACGAGAGGGCACTTTACGAGCGGAAGCTGAAGGAGTACAAATGGAATCTCAAAGTCAACTCCGAAGCTGGAGCCAGCTTCATGAAGCAGGCCCTGGCGCTAATCAACCAGTCGGTCCGCGTGGTCAGTCAAGCAGGAGATGGAAGCTCGGCTACAACGAGTCCCACTCCCGCGCTCTACGTTCCTGGCCACGACTCTCGTACGCCGGAACAGCCTCCACCTATACACCAGTGGATTCCCCACCATCCGCATCCGGTTCCGAACGGTGGCATGGTGTACGACAGCTATCACGATTACAGCATACACCATGATGCATTTCCAGACCCTAATACCGTCTTCGCCGCTTTCCCGACCGAGATAGAAGGCGCGTGGATTCATGATCTGAGATGAGGAGCCGCCAGAGCAAGATGTGCAGATGGAAAACTCGGCACCTGTCAAGACTGCCGTGTCATATGCAGAGGTCTTGACTTTATTGAAACAGCGGCGAGCCAAATATGATACAATAGGCTGGGCGGTGTAGTTCGCGTCACTGCGGTTGCGGGACTCAGAGCTCTATTGCCAGGCTTACGCTTGGACGGCCGGCTCGCGCAGTGACGCCACGGCAACTGAGCTCTACGAAACAGCTGGATGGCGACGATAATACTGCAGATTGGAGCACGATTAATCTGTCGCTAGGAGCACAGCGCCCCGAATCATTGATTCTCTTATCGATCCACGATGCTCTGAGCATAGCACCAGGCCGAAAAACCACTCGCTCCGAATCCAACTCGATCTACTCCGGGAGCAGGAGTAGTCGCGCATTTTTACGTGCCCATTGGCTCCTGTAAACCGAGCGATCGGTCACGGACCAAAGTCATTGCCGGTATTTGGAAATGCAGCTGCGCAAATCTGATTCCCCAACCGCTTTACCACCACTACATACTGAGCCATACCCATAGCGGGTAGTATACAACGACGCTGGGCGCCTCCCTCTGGTTTTCTGCAATTGTCCGCGCGGACGAAGGGATCTGCACTCAGCACGTGGATATGCTTGTTGCCGATTGAGTTCAGCTCCACGTGTGATACACCCAATCAGCTTCACACAATGCGAGCTTAATGTTTGCCCGAGATCTGGCCCAGTCCAGACTCTTGCCCAGTCAAGCTGGTGTTCCGCGAGCACAGCGAGCAGCTGGCACGGAAGCTTAGGACAACCTCGACACGAATCCCTTTCGCGCAAGTTGTGGGTAACTTGATCCGACCAACGCACGCTACTGCCTGTTAATGTCGCCGCTAGATTCGTGTCCCGCAAACTGGCACGCGTTCGCTATAGCCATTCAACCTTGAAGAATTCTGGCCTCATGTAGAACATTTTATTTCCGCAATAGATCCCCAGATTACCCCAGACTGGCGGCGCGGATCGCGGAGATGTTCAGCGAGCTCGCGCGCCAGAAGACACGTGCAGCGGAACCGAGTATCGCCAGCTAACTAGAGACGGTATGATCAGGAGGCTCCTGGCAAGAGCCTCCGTAAATGTCATAACATATAAGGTCATCGAAGACGTGCTTCTTCAAGTAGAGCAGGCAAGGCTTCGATTCGACAATAGCAATCAACATCTCATCGATCACCCCTTTCCCATTATCACAGCCTTGCATTGTCATCGCATCTGCTCACCATGGCGCACGATTCAACATCTTCGATCAATTACGACGACATCAATCACGCCAAACATCATCAACAACACATTGAGAACTTGGAAAACCTGAAGCCTACGCCTTCGCAATTCGAGAAGGTGAGCAACAGCGCGAGTGGACACTTTTCATCAATCGAAACGCTGACCAAAAGACGTAGCTCTACCTGTCCCCGGAAACTCCTGTTGCTGGCAACCTGCGCTGGACATTCGGAAATCCCACTCCCGTCGCCCTTGGTGGTTTCCCTCGCCAACACGCCAGCAGCGATCGATCTCATCGGATGGGGAGGAGCAGGAGGTGGCACGGGTAACGCTTCGGCAGGCACTGGTGCCTACTTCTTTCTGGGAGCTGTGCTACTTTATGCTGGTGGCATCGGTGAATGGATTTTGGTACGATCGGCGCATACTCAATCGTTGGGAATGCGGAAGGCTAACGGATTGAACAGGGCAACACATTCCCGGCAGTCGTGTTCTTCACTTTCGGCGGCTTCTGGGGAGCGTTCGGTGAGTTTACTGGAACATTATATTGTGACTCGTGCTAACAATTCCTAGGCGCGACACTTACTCCTTTCTTCAATGTCATCAACGGATATAATGACGACTCGCCTGCGTTCTACCGCAGCTTCGCCATGTTTTTGATGTGGATGGCAGTCCTCTGTCTTCTTTACGCCATTGCCGCCATCCGAACAAACATCTGCCTCGTCGCAATTCTCCTCTGCTTCGTGGTCACTTTCCCGTGCCTGACAGCATCGTACGTCTCTTTCGACCGATCGCCTATTTTCGATCTCGCTGATAAATTGACAGGTACTTCTACGCTGCCGACGGTCTCGTGGCTCTCAGCAACACCACCCGAATCGCCGGCGGATACTTCTCGTTTATCGCAAGCATCATCGCTTGGTACCTCTGGTTCTCCATGGTCCTGGAGTCTGTCGATTTCCCGATCGCTCTTCCCGTCGGAGACTTGACCAAGTACGTGAAAGGCAGGAGCGAGAAACTCAAGAGCGCAGCAGAGATGGCGTGAGGGGAAGGTATGTACAAGTATACATGTAAATTATGATTGACGAGAATACGAGCACATCTACAGTGGCACCGCAAACACGACTTCTTCGTTGAGGACACGTATGTCGGTGCACACATCATGCACGTAGATTGACGTGGCCAACCCAACTT